GGAATTGAAGGCATCGTTAAAAACTTCCTTCTTGATTAAAGGAGCTTGTCAAAAAGGTCCTTAATCAGCGGAAGGAGGAAAAGAGTGCCTTAAGATTTCATTAACCATAAGAAACATAAGATACAACCAGAAACGCCTCCCCCAACATAAACAAACAACCCAAAACAGCCAGAAGAACCCTATACAGCAACACTAACAACGAAATCCATCTAAGCTAGAACAACAGTCACAAAAATGACTGACCAGATTTTACACCTGAACTAAGCCCGAAAACCAACACAAACAAAACAACTAAAGCAGAAGCCGAATATCACAGCTGACTCAAACTATAAAATCCAAAATAAAAAACAAAAAGCCCTGAACTTCCACAAGAAGAGTACAAGAATCTTCTTCCGCCTTACTGCCTCTTCCGCCTAACAGCCTCTTCTAGCTCGACTTGTCGACATAGACCATCCGAACCTCCAACTTTAGAGCCTTCAAGATCAGAAAAAAACTCCCTCTCGATGCATCTTCCTCTGAGACTTCTTGCTTTGACTTTAACGAGGCTTCCTTTGGTGGGTCGAGAATTTTTCTTGAAAATTTCGGAGAGAACTAAATATAGCATTTCTCTCCTCCAAAGCTCTTTGTTTCTGACGCCCAACCACTTTCTCGGATTTCGATAGCCCCATCCCCTGACCAGCAAGCACTTCCTCGTGTACCACCAATACCTTAAATTCGGTTGTAGGTATGGTCGAGGACGGCACAACTGGCAGCTGCATGTTATCTTTAATTACAACCTTAGACCCAACATGCGCCCTACTAACACTCTCCAAGGCATGCAAAGTGCCACCAGTTTGACAGGCATGATCCTGTACAGCTGTCCCACTAACCGAACTAACATTCGGGATCTCCAAGAACCTATTACTATTTAATATAACCTTGGTCTGCCGTGAACCAACATTTCTAATTGGAGCCAAACGCCTACCACTAACGGGAAGAGACGTGCTGCACATCTTTCGAATTTGCACTATCAACTCTAACATCACACACTTCCAAACCTGAGCCCACGTGTAACCCACTAGCTTCCTCCAACATATTAAAATCTGCACTCCTCTGGCCAATTGAACCGAGCGTAGTTGCCCCATTACAGTTTGTCGGGTTATCACAAAACGACAGCTTATGCCCATGCACATTAGACCCCACTTGCGCCCCCTAGCTACCTCCAAAGAAATAAAAGTGCCGCTCATCTGGCAATCAGACCCATGCGTAGCTGTCCCGTAACGGACTGTCGGGGACAACTTCCACAGCCCTTACCTCATCGGAACAAGGACCATTTCCTACTTCCTGGGCACCTGAACCACACGTTCCACCACCAGTATGCGTGCCTTCAAAACACGCTCGAGTTTCTAGCTGAGCTTCTTATTATTAGTGGAATCAAGATTAACTCGAGAAAACGTTCCAGCATCTACCACCAACTCGGAAGGCTTAAACGGCGAGACACCAAAAAGCTCCCCCTTCATGGGCAACGGGAAGGCAACTGACATTTCCAACACAGACGAATCAACCCAGACGGATTCTGGGCTAAAGCAAGGTTGAAACTCAGAAACAAATACTGTAAAAGACTGTTCCCCGACTTTCAAAACACAGGATTCTTCCAATCAATCTTTGCGGTTCGTAATGATCTGAAAACAGGCCCTATCAAACGAGCCAGGATTAATGGTTCCTACGTCAATGGAGATAAGAGCTCCCCATTTTTCTGCAATGTTTTTGAAAGTTGAATGGCACCACACAAACGGAGGGATCCCTCTATACGATAACCATGCCCGTCGACTGCTACACTGAAAGTTTTCCGACCACGGTTGATTATAGAAACAGACTGTAAATTGGTAGTGGAGTGGGTTAAGAATGGAACTTTGTGTCCCCATCTTTTTGTCTGTATTGTCAGGGATATAGCAGTTAAGCTTAAAGAAGTCGAGGGTATTATTAGATGGGTTGCAAGGACAGCCAATATTGAGGCTGATGGGTTGGCTAAGTCTGTTATTGGTTAATTACAGTGTTTAGGGGTATTTTATTTTGGGTTATTACGATTGTATGCAAAGGTCTTTTATTGATGTTGTAATCTTATGCATCTTATTAATGAAGTATAAGGCACTCTTTTCCTCCTTCCTTTGATAAAGGAACTCATTGAGTTCCTCATCATGAAGGGGGTTTTTAGTGAGGCCTTCAATTCCTATCCAAAAAAAATAGTACAACAGATTGTTTATCCCAACCAAAAATCTTAACCCCTACAACAGAAAGCACCCAAAAATCTTATTAATGAAGTATAAGGCACTCTTTTCCTCCTTCCTTTGATAAAGGAACTCAGTTCCTCATCATGAAGGGGGTTTTTAGTGAGGCCTTCAATTCCTATCCAAAAAAAATAGTACAACAGATTGTTTATCCCAACCAAAAATCTTAACCCCTACAACAGAAAGCACCCAAATCCTAGATAGAAATTCTCTCAATTATCCAATTCCTGCCTTAGCTAGTGCATCTGCTTCTAAGTTTGCTGGTCTAGCTATCCAACGGAGAATACCCTCTTTGCTTCTGATTCTATCCGCTAATTCCTTACAGATTGTAGCATAACTACCCGGACATACATCCAAATTCTTTATCCACTCCACACAATTCTTACTCACTTTCAATGATCAACCACCCCTTAGAACTCCACCTCGATGCTTCAAAATATTCCACGCGTCTTGTAATGTAAATTTCATGTCATCGGTGCCGTTAAGTTTTTAACGGTGGGTACCAAATTAAAACCTAAACTCAACGTTAGACATGTTTTTTAAAAAAGTAAAGTTTACTAAAACGGAACTAAATTAATAGTTTAGGTACTAAACGTGTAGTTTAGCCATTTATTTATTTCTAGTTTCTCCAAGTAGTTGATGTCTTGGGAGGGTCACATCCCCATACTCATGTCCCTATAGGCACTGGCAATAGGGTTCAGGCAGTGGTATTTTAGGACCATGTTGCTCAGATTCTTCATTGTTTTTGAATCACTCATGTCCAGCACGTTCAGGCAAAGTTATGGGGATATAACTCTCGAAATAGATGGAAAAAAAACTTCGAAAAATTAAAATTACTTGTGTCGTACACATACTCGAACTCTTAAGTCGTAACCATGTCGTAGTATATGATTAAGATGAGCATAGTTTGTGACCCTATTGTTTTCGTATCTGGTAATAACTTCTATTATTTTTTGGGCGTTAGGTGACTGGCACATGGCATACATCTGCATGTACAAGGCTCGCACTGTTTCGATGTAATGTCTTTATTTCATTGTGAAGTGTACTTTTGGTATTGTTTTGCTTCGAGCAAGATCCTGAGAAACTGTGAAATGGCCAAATAGATTTTACGAAATTGTGTTGTACTTTTGTTTATTACATTCACTTCGACTGAATGTTTATTATCCCAATTTTATATTTACAATATGTTTAGTTTTGGAAGCTTTGTTATCGCATCCTTTTTAGTTTCAATCTTCTTTGGGGTGATTATAAAGTATAGTATATGTTCGAAAGATCTTTTTTGGTCACTGACGATGTATATATATCATATAGTTTAAATCCGTTTTTACGAGATTTTGCTTAACAAGTTCTGGATACAATTTTAAGTATAGTTTAGGCATCAAAAGTCAATTTTAAATATAGTTTAGGTACTTATTTTTATATTAAGCCTTTTCTATATGTATATTTGCCCAAAATTGATGTTTTTAATATATATATATATATATTAATTTTTAGAGTGATTATAAGATAATATTTATTTAAATTTTTTCTAAATCATTGATGATGATCTCTTTAATGAGAGATTTTCTTTTAAATAAGTATGAATAAACTGTTAATGGCAGTGTAAGAATAAAAAACAAATACAGCTAATCATTGTTTAATATTCAGATATTACATCAATGTCGAGTATATTGAATCCTATCATATAAAACTATTAAATTTAATAAAAATTTAATAATTGTTCTTATAATAAAAAAATTATCAAATAAAGATAATTTCTATAATGATTATATGATCATTAAATTTTGTATAATTACATGACTTTAAAATAAAGTCTAAACTAATACATATTCAATATCAATATACTCAATAATCATTTTCTTTTCGGTAACAACCATCGATAACGTGCACACACTCTGCAGACGCAGCTGTTCAAACTCGTGACTTCAAATAAGAACAACACTCTAAGATCATTCGATAGGTTACAGTCTGGTTGTTTATAATTAAATATTTTATTATTAAAACTTGTACTTTTATTACAAACATATTTATATTTGATCCCTAATTCGAATGCGAAACTCACCTAAATTAATTTAATTTAAACAGATGCTATTTTATAATCACCCTATACTATTGAAAAATGTACCATTTCATTTCACTAATCCTCCACTCTTTTTCTTTTCCTTTTCCTTTAGTAATATTTACCCAAGCATAGGGATAGGTAGATCCAATGAAGAAGACGATGTTTAAACATCAAAGAAGTTGAATATAAATTCATATCAACGGTTTCAAAATTGTACATTATGCAGAGCTCTACAAACAAGATTGGACAATACAATTTACCCCCCAAAGAATCAATAAATATCCTTCATAACAATGATTGCAAGCCTTCAAATGAAACTAAATTCAAGAGCATTGTTATGAAGGATTCTCTTGGTTCTTTTCGAGCGAACGTGTTTTTCGATCCAACTTCCCTCCAAGACTCCTGATGTATGCATTCGACTCGGGCCGTGAATCCAACCTTTGCCTTCTCTCTTGCCTTCGTTTTCTCCCTTGTCCACATGACTTGATCCTTCTCATCTTTCTTCAAGTACTTGATCTCTTGGATGATATGATGATCCATTGGCTGGAAACCTCTTTGCAAAGATATACGAGCAAGGTAAGGGAGAGTACAAGCTATTGTAACTAAGAGGGTTATTGTAACTAAGAGGGCTTCTGTGAGGATTAGGAACACGCTTTTCGAATATGTGAATTTTGGTTAAGCGTGACGAGCTAACCCTGGAGGGTATAAAGCAGTTTTGTGTGAATGTTGAGAAGGAAGAGTGGAAATTCGAAACGCTGTGCGATCTCTACGAGACCCTAGCCATTACTCAAAGCGTCATTTTCGTGAACACGAGGCGCAAGGTTGACCGGCTAACCGACAAGATGCGAAGTCGAGACCACACAGTTTCTGCCACCGATGGAGACATGGACCAGAACGTTCGTGATGTCATCATGCGTGAATTCCGTTCCGGTTCTTCTCGTATTCTCATCACAACCGATCTCTTGGCCCGTGGCATTGATGTGCAGCAAGTCTCTCTTGTTATAAACTACGATCTGCCCACTCAGCCAGAAAACTACCTACACCGAATCGGACGAAGTGGAAGGTTTGGAAGAAAAGGTGTCGCCATTAACTTTGTGACTCTAGATGATGAGAGGATTTTGTTCGATATCCAGAAGTTCTACAATGTTATCATCGAGGAGCTTCCGTCGAACGTCTCCGACCTCCTTTAATGAGATAATTGCTCTCAGGGGGTGTTTGGTTCAAGTCATCTCACATTATCGGGGTCATTTCCCGTTTGGTTGACAAACATTCCCAGTCCCGGTAATCTTTTATTCCCAACAGTGGTATTTTAGGGTATATTATTGGGTATGTGATTACCTTCTTTCCCTTAGGTATTGTTGGATTACCGGAGTTTTGAACTAAATGCCTTAAAAAAATTTCTTTCAAAATTATCATTCTTATGTCGTTGAATAAAAAAAATTATACGAATGTTAAATTATAAATTTATCCTTAAACTATTTTCGATTTACAAAAAAAATCTATAATTAGAATTTTATATGAAGTTCAGGGGTTAAAATAAAATTTTTACTCTTTCATTAAACCTATTTATCTTTTTAATTTTGTACAAAAAATTATATAAATTTTATGAATTTAAATTTTTTAAAGAAAATATATAAATTAATTATAGTATAATTCAACTTGTTAGAGAAACAAATATATAATAAGGACAATTTGATAAAATATACATTCCAATAATCTTTTATTCCTTTAACCAAACAATGTAATCTTATATTCCTGCTAAACGAACCAAACACAAAATACAACATTCCGAGTAATCTTATTCCCTCCGGTAATCCTATTCCCGTTAGTAATCTTATATTCCGTGAACCAAACACAACCTCAATATTTTTTCGAGTTTGATAAACGTTCTCCTTTCCTATTTAGTGTTATAAGTTAAATGTTGTTGAACATATTTGACCATTTATTTAGGTGTTATAGCACAACAGCTACATACAGATTTTCCTCACTGTTTTGATGTTGATTTATTTATGCTATTTCTTGCTTCAATCTCTTAGTCCATATGGAATTGAAGTGGCCTTTAGAGTGGATGGATGAAGCATTGAAATTTGAGTTCAATCTCTATCGAAAAGGTAAAACAACGTTAAATTTATGGCATAATGTCAAAATTAGTCCTAATGTTTGTTAAAATTGTCATTTTGATCCTTATTATATATTTGGAGCATTTTGACTCTGATGTTTTATTTTAAGATTAGACAAAATAGTTACTATAGCCTTTATTTTTTTTAACATTTTAGTCTCTGTTTTATTTTAAGATAAAAATATCCTTTAATAGATCGAGAAAAATATTTTCTTTAACCATTGATCCTACTCAATGGGTTTTTTATAACGACTATTTTGTATTTATTGCAAAGAATATCTATACTCATGTATTGGTACTTTTAATGCAATATTTTCTATTTTGATATTTTAAATTTATTCAAAATTAATAATAAAAAAGGGTATATTATATCAGTGACCACCTAACTATTGTCCCTTTTTTATTTTGACCACTGTTGTTGAAATTTTACATATTACCTAACTATTTATTTAAATACATTCAATTAAGTCACTTGTTGTCAACGTTTAACGAAAAAACTGATGTGGCAGTTAAAGAACTTAGTATAATTACACATTCAGTCGTGCTACTTATATATTCTATCAATTTGGTCCTAATTTTAATAAATTAAAATAAATTTGACCTTCAAATCAAATGGTGTAATATGTAGTTGGTGCCAAGTATAATAACACATGTCATCATCCTATTGGAAATAATTTGTTGAATATATATATATATATATAGAGAATTGAAAAGCATGCAAGACATGAAGCAAAGGTTAGGGAGTATGAAGCTGCCGGACTGCAGTAGGGCATTCAAAGAGAGAAGGCTGAGCACCTCCATGGGGAGTTGAACTGTATTGGAAGTCCTGGGCTAATTTGGCCATTCATCCAATTAATCGATCCTTTCTTCCAGTGTTGGAAGAAACAGGCTCCATCCAACAGGAGGTTTCGTCCATTGCTGCTTCTCAATCTTGGGTTTGCTTGGAGCTGTCACAACATTTAGTCCAGCTGAAGCTTCGCTCAAGGATTGACCCACTCCACATCGCAACACTATTGAAAACAACTTCATTCATTTGCTTTCATGCCTGCCCACGCTCTTCACGGTGCTCGAACTTAAATTTTTTAGAAATAACAACACTTTCCTTATCATCGAATTCTCTCGGTTCATGTTATTTAATTATCCTTCATGAGAATTGTCGTGATTCACCCTAGTTCCTTTATGATCCATGCTCTCTTTTTTCCTTGGCACTTTTATTTATACACCTCTTTCTTCAAATTGAAAAGGCTGAACTTTTTGGGATGTTATAGCGTTTTTTAAGACTTTCCCATAATATCAAAATTAGTATCCAATGTATATTAAAATAATCATTTTGTTTCCTATTCTTTTTCTAGATTATTTTAACCCCCAACGTCTCATTTGTGTAAAAAAAAATCCTAATATTTGATAGAATAATCACTTTAATCTTTAATTTTTTTCTAAAATATTTTAACCCACAAAGTTTCATTTTGAGATGAAAAATACCCTATTTTAAAAAAAATCATATATTAACTATCAATTTTCATCTACAAGAGTTTTTTTGCCCCAAAATGAAATATGTTGGACCAAAATACTCTATAAAAAAATAGGAGTCAAAATGACTATTTTGATAGACATTGAGTACTAATTTTGACATTATACCCTACAAGTAATATTAAACAAACCTACAATAAATAATCTATATCACAATATGCTGAAACCACAAACCTGTCATATTGCATACTAATGAGTGTATGCATCAGATACAAATATTTTCAAGAAAATAAAAAATATAATAATAAATTTTCATTGCTTATAAAAAAATCCAACTCCTAATAGGTTCAATTATTAAAGAAATGCAAAAAATATATATCCAACTCCTAATAGGTTCAGTGCATAATCCTTGGTAAAATTATGTTACAATTTATAGATGATGTTAAGGTAAAGATATAGCAGCTAAACAATGAAATCTACAATCCAAATCCTGGTTCACTTCTCAAATACCATACAAAGAAATTATCCACGTTCTTCACTTGTTCAAGTAATATGGAAGCCACTTCATTGAATCACCTGGATGAATGGGCCGGTGTATCGTCGTCCTGCACACGTTATTCGTATTCGAGTGTTTTCAGGAAAAATGAAGAGTCGAAATAACAAAACTCGGAAGGAAGAGAGAGTGTGTACCAGTTGCAACTTGATCTTCTCGGACCAGTTAAAGATATCTGAATGAACTTGATCCCCTCCCAGTTCTTCACCAGAAGCACCGGCAGCTATCCTTATAACATCCTCGATCAATGCGAAGTTTCCCATGATATCAACATGAGCACCGCTGAGGGTGCCACGTCCCTCGAGTAGGTTGGCTGGGGGGGAATGATTGTACTCCCTTACGTACGTTCGAATCCCGGATGGATTAAATCGGGTTTTACCACGCCAACCTTTAGCACACATGAAACCAGCACTTAAAACCGGGACTGTCTCGTCCCCGTCAACAGAATACACACCATCCCTCAGGCAGGTGTCTTCATCATCAGCCGATGTGTCGATCTTAAATGGAATACTACACTCGGCATGCGGAGATAACTTGTACACATATGCTCGTTCGGTCGGTAGGCCAACTCCGTATAGAGAAAAGATTTCCATATCTGGAGCATTTGGCAACCTGTGGAATAAGAGTGACAGTGAAGACTGATAACTGATGAACATTTATGAACCAAATGAGTGTATACATACATATTGCAATAGGCATTATCTAAATCAATGAACAGGAAAACAAAAATCACAGCCGGCCAAAAAGTGCATTATATTGTGGCAGTGCTGCAAATAGAAAGGAAAATTAAGAATAATTCAAGAAATTAATCAAAACTTAAGTGTTGATTGGACTTCTTCTATCAACTTATAGGCCACGGATTCAGATTAAAGATACAAAAACCGAAAGGAGACGATGAAAAAAGGGAGAATGAAGAGTAAATACCAAGCATGAAGAAACAAAATGAAATGATGGGATAGGTTTCTCACGTTGTTTCCAAAGGGTTCGACCAGTACTTGTAGTGTTTATACTTAGGGTCATCCAAGTTTTCTGCAATTCCGTAGGAGAAATGAGCAGTACCGCGAGCCATCATTTTCGGAGCAATGAAATGAAGCAAGTCAACAATTGATTCAGCAGTGTAAGTTTTATACTCGGCTACTGCTTTGATACCGGCAAATCCCATGTCATGATACTCCGTCCACACGTCTCGACAAGTTGTGTTTGCAGCACTATGACCTTTAATAGCACCCTGAACGTTGTCATAGAAAATAGGCATACAGCACAACATCGTAAGTTTGCTATGCAACAGGGACTCGGGCAATAAGCTAACAGGGAACCGCCAAGATTACATAAGAAATGAATTACCCTGAAGTCTATCCTCTCTATCTCGGATGAAGGTGCCTCGGCAACATCTTTTCCAAAAGATATCATCCTTCCATAATTAACACTTCTAGCTTTACAGACTGCATTTTCAGCACCGGCTTGGTCCGTGATCTGAGTGTCGTTCTTCTGTTCTCTCTTTTTGCTACAAGAATAACCTTCCTCTGGTGACCAGTCTAGACCACCCCATATTGTGTCCCCACCTCTCGGTATCATCGACATGGTTGAATCCCAAGTCCTGCTCATTCTCATCATATGTTGCAATGTTTGAAACTGAAATATATCATTATCCAGAAAACCGGGTGCAAGAGCCCTGCATTTCGAGTTCCTTTTTAGTACTACTGTAAGAATAAACAAAATTACATTGATAAACTTTTGAAATAAATGATATTATCAACTACTAAAGTAACTTACACATGGACCAATTTCCGAAATCGAGAAATATAGGCAAAATTACCGGATGCATTTTGAAAAGGACATAATTTTAAATAAACAAACACCAACACATATAATTTTAAATAAATGAGCACAAACATAATTTTAAATAAATGAGCACGAACACATAATTTTAAATTAACTAACATTAACACAATTTTAAAATTCTAAAGGAACACAAACCAAATATGAACAAGCTTAAAAATTAAAAAAATGAACATGAACAAAGATATGTTCGTTCAAACTCGGGTTTGTTTAGTCTTGCTGACCATAAGATGAAAGAAAACACAAGTTTGAACAATGTTCTATTGCATGCATATATTCTTTTCACATAATCTGCCATACTATACACACTGCAACTTATTACAAAGTAGAAAATGGCCCAATGTCATGACATTAAAGAGTAAATGAGATCTATGGTTGCTTTCGGCAGGTTTAAAACTTAACAGCTGACCAAATTCTAAGGTAACTTAGAATGTATGAAAATATTGTTTATAGTAAAATGTTGGTTCATTTGTGTTTCAAATTTTCCCGACACCATGCAAACTCCAAAGTTACAGCTTGGATAGAGATATAATGACATCAAAGATGAACTAATGTAAGATATAGTTAGTTGCTTCTAAGAAAGTATACTTGTAAGGTACCTGGCAACTGCAATATCCTTTGCCTCGGCAGAAAAAAGCCCGGCAATAGCTTTTGGAACACCGAGAAACGGCCCACCGATGTTAACCACGGCTTTAATATGCTTTGAACACCAATCTGGGCCACCCCCACCACCCATGGGAGCAGGTGCCTCAACCCACTTCATGAAATGTAGGAAATACAGAACTCCCATGGAGTGTGGAATGGCTACTACTTTTCTCCCTCCATTCGTAGCAACCAGCAGTTCGATATTACTCTTAATACGGCTCAGTGTTTGATCACGTACCTGATTAATTGGAAGATGTCAACAGCATACAGTGTTCCAAACAAAAGCAGAATAATAAAAAGAAAATGCATAATCAATGAATTATACTGCCAACGAGCCTACCATCAAGAAAAATTCTAGTTTAGGAAAATTTTTACCTCAGTGTTTTGAAAAGAGAGTCTCCAATCATAGGCAGCCATATACATGTTCTTCTCCTCGTATCCGATCCGAGCCAAGTTAGCAATAAGAACTGCCCACACAAAATACCCTGGAGCAAAATAATCTGCAGCTACTAGTCCAGAGACGGGTCTCACTCTTATGCCACAAGGATCTAAACCGGTTTCGTTATCCAATGACATGTGTTCCAGCCAGCATAGAGGTCTACATAGCATACGACAAACCAGAAAACATCAATTATCCAAGCAATACTAGGAGTTCATAACTTAGACACACAACTATCATTTAGAAATCAAAATTCTATTGAACCAGAACAAAGAGCAACCAGATTGCAATAGGCCTATCAACACAACAAGTTAGTCCCATTCTAATATAATATAATGTTTTTCGTTTTTACCAAATTGCAATTTATTTAAAGAACTGTAATACACTTTACATTCTAAAGAAATGTTGCTTTCAGTATGTAAAATACACTTTACCAGATTGCAGGTTATGCTAAAAAAAAAAAGTAAACAGGATCATTCTGGTTCCATATTGTTTTAATACATCATGCAACTTCATGTTACAACTTAAAACAGCAAGGTACACAATCGAAAGGGTAGAGACATCGGTCCAACTCCAATACATCTAGTCTACCACATCAAGAAAATCACGAAAACTAGTATGCAAAACAAGAAGCACATAATAAACAGATAGCCCTCATGACATGACCATGTGAGCATATGTTGATCGGAGTTAGTATGTGTTAGATATGTATATGTGTGCAACACGGATATGAAGAGTCGGAACAATATATGTTGCAGTCAGTAGCCACGCCATGACATTAAAATCAGGTAGAAAAGAAGAGTAGATTAAGAAAAAAATCAAATGACTACCAAAAATGTAAACTAGTTTAGAAATATAGCTTGCAAAAAGTTAAACTAATCCTACCTACAATTTAGCCACTATAAGTAACAAACAAACAAAAGTTTCCGTTCAACGACTACCCCTTTATATCCTCAAATCATAACAAAACTTCAATCTTCAACTTTTCATATAAATTGCAAATTTAATGCTCACAAATAACTAAACAACAAGTGGCCTGGTGTTCCAAACTATATCAATAAAACATCGTAACTTATAACTATAATTAGGAGCAACAGTACAACACCAAAAACAGCAAGGTTAATTCTCCAATGCGCTGCACAGGCTTCTTCTATATACAGCATCTCCGGTTGTATGCATCTTCCTTCCTGTTTATAAATAGAGAAGCTATTTCCAAGGTCTGAACCCATGATCAAAATGGGATTATCAAAACTTCACAAATTAGACATTTTATCAGGCAAACAAAACTGCAACATAAATCATCAATGTATAAAACCAACAGACAATGCTAAAAACGGCATCGAAATCACTAGTAAGCCTTACTGAAAATCATAAAGCTACACCTGATTTCCGGAATTTTGAACTAGTGAAAGGGATAGTGTGTAGACACTTAATTACTAAAAATTCACACACTAATTTTATCCCACAACCAAAAATACAATATCAAATTACAATACCTGGTATACCAAATCAAGAAACAATCCTAAGAACAGCATTTTAATCACCTGTACCCCTTATACAAAACCCCCAAAAAAATCGGGGTTCTGAATCCGGGAAACAACAACAAGTGGACACTTAACCTTAATGACAAAAAACATAAACTATACCTTTTATCACACAACCAAAAATGCAATATAAATCATCCATATTTGTTTAACAAAATCAACAAACAAAACCCCAATTCAAATCCATAAAAGTATATGAAATTACTGGGGTTCTAAACCTGGAAAAGAGATGACTGATAGACACTTGACCTCAATTATCAAAAAAACATAAACAAGAAGACCTTTTACCGCACAACAAAAAAAATGCAACATCAGTCATCAATACCTGGTGTACAAAATCAACACGCAACCTTAAAAACAATACTCAAATGATCAATACACTTAATCAAGGGTTTTGAAACCTGAAAAATGGCTAGCAAGTAGACAATCACCAAAAATTCACAATCAAGACCTTTCATCGCAAAACCAAAAATGGAATATTAATCATCAATACATGTTGAACAAAATCAACCAACAATTCCAAAAACATCTAAATCATCAAAACCCATTCTCCAAGAAAATTAAGCTAATTACTGAGATTTCGGAACCCAAAAAACTGATAGATAGACTTTAACCTTAATTACTAAAGATTCACAAACAAGACCTTTTATCAAAGAACCGAAATCATCAATATTTTTTCAACGAAATCAACTAAAAATCCTAAAAAAACAGCAGTTAAATCACCATAAAGTACACCTAATTCCCAGCTAGATGACAGGCAAGATGTTTTCCCCCAAAATTATACCTTCATTAGATGAGAAACACACACACAAAACTTCCAATAAAAGAAAGCAAGCAGCTAAAAGATTAATACCTTTTATACACTTCACCAAAAGTACCACCCCATAGCCGCTTTCTAAACAATCCTTCAGCACACTCTCGTCCTTCCCACAACTCAAGCCCACCGGTGACAATCCCCGGAACAAACACCACCGGATGCTTAGCCTCCAACCCTTCCTTCTTAAGCTTCACACCAGGCGGGTCGGGCAAAGGACCCGTTATTGCCTCCGTTACATACTGAGGAAATGAAGCTGGCATTGCATTGTAAAGGAACAACAGCAGCCACCACGTTATACATATGCAACCGATGAACCAACAGCACGTGTCCAAACACGACCACTTAGACTGTGGTGGTGGTGGCGGAGGCGATGGAGGTTTCTCCCCACGTTCCTTCCTGATCTTTGATGGGGTTTTCTTGTTTTTGCCATTACCATCATCGTTGTCGTCTTCATCATGATCTTCTTGGTGGTGTTGTTCTTCCTCTTTCTCCAATAAGGGTTTTGAATCTGAAGATTCATTGATGGGTTTCCTCCTTCTGAGTAGAGACATGTTTCCTTTTTCCCTTTTGTCGGAATCTAGTCGGTCTTAAAAGAACTTCTCTTTCTGGGAAAAATCACTTGAAGCACTCAAGAAAGGAAAAAGAAAACCTTTCTTCAGGTTTAGATCGAAAATGGAAATGAGACGAAGAAAAAGCAATTATAGGCATCAAAGGGTCAATAGTCCAAAGCAAAAACGCTTATCCAATTTACCTGCCCATACTTTTTTTCTTGAGCATATAAATTTATGATTGAAGTAAGAATAGGCAACTATAAACACAAATAAATAAATAAAACTGCTAGAACCGTCTAAAACTAAAAGTCAGATGAATATTTTTTTTTTGGTCTGAGCTGCTGATTGGGAGTTGGCTGATGGGGTCATTAATGGTGATGGAAGCTTCGTCTTCCTCGGGAAGTGGGCCTGCTTTCCATATAAGCCACTTAACTGTTGGAAAACATTTTCATTTTACTGAGACCCAAAAAGATTACTAAAGTAATTTTATACTATAAAAATATTTTCCAGTCAATTACCGACAAATGTTTTTTTAAATTCGCGAAAAATATCATTATTGAAGAGAATATTTTCTTCCAAATTGTGTTCTTGAAAATACTATTATCATATAATAATTTATAATTAATAGTGACATTTTTTATTAAAATTAATGAAAATGTTATTAATTTCAAATTCTTAGGTATTATATAATTCTCGTTATGTTGGATAAAATATTCTTGAAATAATTATTTTCATATAGATCATTCCAAAATCTTATTCTTCGTATTTTATTCAAAATTATAAATATAATAATAATAATAGCATTCAAAGAGTTTGGTTCAGTAAAACATTAATAAATTTAAGTTGTTAGAATTATTTTATATATTTAGTATTTAATATATTAATCAATCACGATTTTATGTGGCAAAAATTTTATTATCGTAAAGAAATGTAATTATTTAAAATAATATTTAACTTTGAGTTATTAAAAATATATATTATATATTAAAAAATAATATTTTTGTCAACTCGATATCATTATATTAATTTTATATTATATTATATTTTATATGAATAAGTAAATAAATATGATACTAATCACAATTATTTTAAAATATAAGTTTAATAATTTAATTATAATGATTATATGTTAAATATACTTTTTTTTAAAAGTTATATAGTGTAACAATCAAAATATTTTCATAGATATTTAAATATTTATAATTTAATATAATATTTTAAATTATTAAATATATATATATATATATATATCACATGAATAATTTAATAAAATATACATTCAAGTAATTTTGTATCCTTATGACCAAATATTTTAATATTACATTCCTGTTAAACAAACCAAACAGAGTAATACAACATTCTTAAGATAATGTTTCATTCAAATAATTTTATTCTAAAAAAATAATCTTATGTTCCGTAAATCAAATATTCTTAAGTTAATTAATCAAACGGTTAAATTTTAACGGTTTTGTTTAACTCAATTGTTAAAAGTGTCGATTAATGATTACGACTATAAAATTTGATAAATGGTTAAACTATTAATTAATCGTTAATAAATTATAATTAATAAGTTATGTTTTTTAAAAGAATAAAATTAGAAATAGAATCAAAATGTTCCTTCTATTTTTTAATTATCATGTTTATCTTATATATGAACACGTCATATCAAATATAGATAAAAAAAAACTTGATTTTAAACGATAAAAATATAAATATGAATGTAATATTTTAAGTTACAAAAAAATTAAATATACCTCATAATATATATTTCTATGAAAATAAAATACATCTACAAATAAATAAAGTTTCTACAATATATATATATATCACTGTTAATTTTATGAAATTTTGTAACATACATATTATGTTATGTTTAAAAAAAATTATAATAGATGAACCATAAGCTAACTTGTAATTATAATGTTAATAACAGTTAACTGTTAGTGATTAATCATTTATTAATAATTAAGTTACATCTAACAAAAATTTAATAACTATTATAATGATTAATCGACCGTTTAAACTTAAAAGATACAATTAATCAACCGTTGAAACTTAAATGATACGATTAATCGACCATGAATACCTTATGGGAGAGATTTGCCTTAGGGGAGGTTAGTTTGTTCAAAATTGAAGATGTGTCACCTTCTAGGATAACGTTGTTCCAGTTAAGGTTGTTAACAAGTAGAGTCGAGTTTGAGTATTACTGAGTTCGATTTGATTTGAAAAATGTATAACGAAGTTCGACTCAATTCGAAAACTCATGAGCTTAAATTGTCAAGTTCGGCTCGAACTCGAAATAAAAAAATTAAAATTCGAATCAAAAGTTCATAAACTTAAAATTTTAAAGCTAGACTCGAGTTCATAAAAACTTGAAAACAAACTTAGCTCAATTGAAGTTCAAACTTGAGCTCGAACCTGAACTTAAGTACATGAAAGTCTTATATTGTATTTTTTAAAATAACAACATATAAATGTTAACATTATTAATAATTTAATTTTAAAAAATCTAAAATTTTAATATATTATTCTTTTGAGTTTTCACGAGCTTTTCGAGTCAAACATCAAATAACTCGCTTCAACTTGTTATGAATTCGAATCAAATCCATTCAATTTAAAAATTAATTAAATTTTATCTAAATCAATCTCAAATAATTCACGATATGTGACATTTCATTCACAATCTCAAATAATTACATATATTATATTCAAAACAAATTAAATTTAAATGAACCATCATAATTTTTTAACACTATTATATAAAGCGTGTTTACATTTGTTTTGTAAGCATGTTTTCAGTTTTTTATTAATTATTTAACTTTTTTATGTTTATTTTTAAGATTAAATTTGACAACGTTTTAATTGATCAAGATACATTTATTTGTTATTATATTGATTTCCTCCCTTTAGATTCTCGAATTGGAGTTGGGTAAGTGGTTTCCGTTGTAAATAATTTGATCTCTATTATAGTTTGTTTATCAATACAATCAGATATGTTCGTATATGTTTTAGAATTTGTGTTGTTACGGTATATGTTCATTTAAAAATAAAAAATATTTAAAATTACAATGTGATTTTAAATGGATAATTTCTTGTGTAGGTGGTTATAAAAATATATTTTCCGTTTACATTCATATTGTACACATTCATTGTAATTTTTATATTTTCTATTTTAATTAAAACTAACGCATCTATTTGCATAATGAAAATATTAAGAATAAATTTAAATCTTACGACTCATAATGAAAATTCGATATACCATTAAGTGGAAATTAGTTTAAAAGAGCATGAAAGTGGAAAGAAAATAAAAATAAATTAAAGAAAAACCTAATTAGAAAATATGTGCTCTAACTATACCATTTTTCTTAAATAGGTGTCTAAACTTTTTTAATTTATTCAAGTGTCTAACATTACCACTTTAGGTGTAACATCTTGAAAACCGGGTTAGTAGTTTCGAGTAAACCGTTAGGGCTTAGAGTGTTATGGTAGGCCTCTACGAAACATTTGGGCTAAGTGTGGCTTGGGTTTGGGCTTGAGTTGGGCCCAAAATATAATAAAAAGAGCATTTTTGAATGGGGGCAATTGAGAGGGGACCAAAGAAGTAATTTACCCATAGTTTCCATAAAAGGTTGATCTCACCTAATTGTGCATATGCCATATGTTGAAAAGATAAGAACTCTCTTCTCTTCTCTTCTTTCTCTTAGAATTGCTCGTCCAGCTTAGTTGGTATAACGCAAGGCTTTTAACCTTGTGGTCGTGGGATCGAGTCCCACGGTGGGCAATTCATAATTCTGATTGCCGGAGGTCTTCTACGGAAACTGCTCTCAACCTGGCGTTGGGGGTAGCCTACTACCTTACCTCCCCCTCACCCAATTACATATGGGAATAGGGTTAGCTAGTTATTCTCTTCTTCCTCTTAATCTTTTCCTCTCCTCTTCCTTGTCTCAAGCCATCAAAGATGATAACTTGATTACTTCACATTTTTAGTTCGAATTTGTAAAGGTAAAAATGATAATCTCTTCCCTTAGAGCTTCATTTCAAGTATACCATCTCAAGTTTTGACTCGGGTAGTCATGGTAGTCCTTGTGGGCATTTCATATCGGTTTTGGGTTTTTAAAGATTTAGGATGTTCCTAATCCATTTCTAGGGATTAGAAATCTTATTTATACTCTTTTTACGTCCTTAAACGAGCTAGTAATTCATTTCATTTCTTTTTATTAGTGAGCGAGTTAGAGAATGTCTCAAAAGCAAAAATAAGGAGAAATTTGTGCTTGTGTGATCTTGAGGTGTTTCCTAACAACTAGAGTTAAAATAACACACTCCTAATTCACTTATACTACTTGTAGATCGTTAGATATGATTTACTTACTTGTATGTGTTCATATGCACATTTTAAGTTATTTGTGAGTGATTGCTTGCCATCAACAAACCAGAAAAAGACGTATCTTATATGTTAAGTTACGTCTACACATATGCACATTAAATTAACTAAATTAGTAATAAATAAATTTCAAATTTATAATATTATCAACGTAAAAATGCATAAATTATATATATATATATATATATATATATATATATATTATTGACGTTTTATCCTTTTTTTAATATAATGTTTTATCTTTTTGTCAAAGACGATACGATGGGATTAGGGATGGGCACTCAACCCTAACCCGACCCGACCCGATCGGGCCGGATTTTTAAAAAAATTGGGTTTGGGTCAGGTCGAGTTCGGTGTATGGTGAAAAATACCCGACCCGAAAAAATAATAATTTTACTTTATATATTTAGAAATACTTACAATAATACCCTTCTCTATATAATTTTTTTAATTAAGTCATTGTTTTTATTAAATAAAAATATTTTTTTATTATTTCGGGTCGGTTTTCTAAGTCATATATTCGGGTCGGGTCAAGTAGGGTGAGGGTCAAGTAGGGTGAAACATTGTTTTGGTCTGGTCGGGTCGGGTCTCGGGTGGAGGCTTCCTTGTTCTCGGGTCTAGTCGGGTGGACCAAAAATTCAACCCGACCTATGCCCATCCCTAGATGAGATAACATTATGAGAACATTTATTGAGAATAAAATAAAATAAAATATTTTTATTGATAAAAATTAAATTAATAACATTTTAAAAAATGAATGATATAATAGTTATTTTTTAAATAGTTAATCAATAATATTATGGTAATTAAGTAATTATTAAATAAAAAAAATCAAACTCAAAACATATTTTTTAATAAATCAATTAAAATAAGCCCATATATAATAAAAATCAGCAAATTTAGCAAAGAAATTTCCTTATTTAAACAGACATATATAGGTTTTCGGGATAAGTTGGGGTTCCACTGATAGTTCATCGAATAGTAGCCATAAATATCTCAGTTCATAGGAAATATTCATAGTATCAAGTTTTCAGGAGATCGAATAGGATATCTAGTGTGTTCCAACCAAAACTAGTGAAAAGATATAATCTTTTAAAAACCATAGTGAACCCTCCAACCAAACTCCATTATGTAGTTCCCTAGAACTACATCCATAAGGGGTTACCCTAAGCACACAGCAAAGGGAGCCAACATAAATATATGCCTTGGGGTCCATGGGCCTACCTAAGGGTATCCTTAGGCCCGTAAGGATTTACCAGCTGGATCAGGGATGTACATCCATACTCCAGAATCATGCTCATATAAAAATCCAATGGAAATCAGTTTAACCGTAAACCGTAATATTTGGATCGTGATCTAGTAATATCTTATAACTGTGATAATAAAATAAACCATATAATTGATCTTTTCATGTACACCATATATAGTTTCATGATTACAAAGTAGTATATGCTATAAATACTCTCAACCATTGGACAATGAACGGTCAATCACCTTGCTGCAAACAGCTGGTGCTTGAACTCGTGACCACTATGAACAATAATGATTCCTTTAACCACTGAGGTAAGTTAGTTCGTGCAATGTTATGTTTTAGTTTAGTTTTGATCGTTTGTCATTAAAAAAAAAATAGAATTATTGACGTGATATTTAAAAAAAAAATCAATGATGACATCTCATTATCACATACCAAAATAAAATCAAAATAGAATGCTAGACATTATTTTGAAACAAAAAATAGTTAAATGACTAAAATGGAATGAAAATAATGTTATGGTACTGAACGTATAGTTTACTCTTTTCAAATCGTGAAATAAAAAGACAGCAATTGCATTGATTTTGCAATTTCCATATGAACAGATGTGTCACATCATCTCCACTGTGATAAGAAAGGGATTGGGAATTCGGCATTGGCTAAGCATATTCTTTCTTTTATTTCATTTTACGAATTAAAATTTATAAAATTTGGTCGCGGTGGAAGAAGGACCAACCAATTGGATCAAGATTTAGGGACCAAATTGATTTAATAAAAGTTTGAGGGGTTAATTTGATTAACTTTACGAAATTAACAAAAAAGATTTTATGCCACATCTAATTTTATATTAATTATCTAATTTTTTTTATAAATATTTAATAAATTCGAGTTGAAATAACGTGATTCAGAATATTATTTTACAAATCTCATTGTTGCTTCCGATTGTTTAAAGGCGAGCATGAGTTATACTATATATTTTTCTTAATAGTCTGGAGTGGTTATTAGATAATATTTTTTAAAAATGTTTGTTAGTCAACGATAGCATACACACTTTCTACAGACACACATGTTCGATCTCGAAACCTTTAAGAAAATAACATTTTCTCACCAAAGTCGCTTGATGGCCTCAATTATATTACATGTTTAGTTTTTCCTTACAAGGTTGTTTCGAATATTAAGAGCTTCAACTTAGTATTCTTGAACACAAACCGATTGACGTCAGTGGCTAAGGCCTTCAGGGATTGTTGTTATACTTGAAGTTCTAAATTTGAGTACCAGTATACAGAAATATGAGCTTTTATTGCTAAATATTCGAAAAATATTTAAATATATATTATCTTATATTGATCTCTAATTTATAAGGGAAAAAAGCTAATGTTAGTGGAGGTAGAGAACTTAGCCATAAGGGAATGTTACGGGACAAAAATCAGTTTCAATGGTTGCAATTTGAAAGGACAGCATGCCCAATTTAATAAACTTGTATGCCTTTACCGTCTATATATTCATACGCAAAACCTCTTAAAAAACCCACACTAAAAGAAGAAAGAAAATAGTTCCCAAAAACAACCTTATCTTCACATCCACCCATGTCCGAGCGCAGGAACTTTGCGTCGCAAATATGTCCACGGGCATTGTTACCCCCTCAGGCTACCCTTGCAAAACCGAAACCGACCTCACCGCTGACGATTTCGTCTTTTCGGGCCTCGGTCTCACGGGCAACACCTCGAACATCATCAATGCGGCAGTGACCCCGGCATTCGTGGCTCAATACCCCGGAGTCAACGGGCTTGGTGTGTCCGCCGCAAGGCTAGACCTTGCGCCGGGCGGTGTAGTGCCAATGCACACTCACCCCGGTGCCACCGAGCTTCTCTACGTCGTCCACGGTCACATCACCGCCGGGTTCATTTCATCGGCGAATAAAGTCTACTACAAGACATTGAAGAAGGGTGATATCATGGTTTTCCCACAAGGTTTGCTCCATTTTCAGATCAATGCCGCCGGCCGGCGACCGTCGCTCGCCATTGTCACGTTCACCGCCCCCAGTCCCGGCCTTCAAATCCTCGATTTCGCGTTGTTCGCCAATGATTTGCCGTCGTCTCTGTTAGAGAAATCCACGTTTCTCGACGATGCTCAAGTTAAGAAGCTCAAGGGTGTTCTTGGCGGAACTGGTTAATCCATGCAAAAGGAACCTTTTGATCCTTCTGCTTATTTAATAGTGTATTAATTTCATGTATTTTCTAATATTTAGCTTTTTTTTTGCATTTATTTTTTTCGATTTTTCCCTTTTATTTTTTTAAACAATGCCATTGTATTCCGTCTATAATATCAATTTAAATATCTCAAGTTTTAATTTAAATATTTTTTAAATAAAAATTAAATATTTGAACCAACAATCGTTTAATCTAATGGGATAGAATATTATATTCCTTAAATAAGGTTACAAGTTTAAATTTTAACGTTATAAATGGAGTAAGCTACGTTGTGAGGGTCACACTATAATAAATTTTTATAGTATCTAGTTAATGTATATATAATTTTAAATATTTATCGAAATTAAGTATTTGAACCAATGACCGCTTAATCAAGTGGTAAGTCGCCTGATATCGCTTAAGTAATGTCTCGAGTTCGAGTAATCATTTATGCAGAAAATCCCTGTTAGGAGAATCACCCTCCAAAATCAGGTGTGCAACTAATTTATCTAGTAGATAATGCATTAGATTCTTTAAATATACTTGCCTGTTTTAACTTCACTGCTTATTTTGAAAAATAAAATAGAAATGAGGCCCCTAGATGAAAATTTTAACATCATTGTGGAAATGCTATTTCGAATTTGACCGAAGTAATGAAAAGAAACGAAGAAAGAAGAAAGCAGCTGTTGCGGAGTGCATTTATTTCATAACTTTTACCATTTTAATCTTTTGTCCTAACCAGTTGACTCGTTTGCAGGTTTCTGTGTCACCCATGGAGTAAGGCAATCCTCTAGAAAGCCATGACCAGTTGACTGAGCTAGTCTCGGGTCCCGAGACAGGTTTCATCAATCTATTCAGTCAGCAACAATTGCAAGCAAGTAGTAATAGAGGTTTATTATATATTGTCGAAAACTTTTCGTCCTTACATCCTATGCTAGTCCAACTCGAACATTGGGTGCAAGTGTCGGATGTGAGTATGTGAACGACCAGTTGATATACGTCTTACTCTAGTACTCCAAAAAACGAAGAGTCGGAGTAACACAGCATCTATCCATGATAAGCATAAAGGCTAAAATGCATTTTCTTTTGTAACCAGAAAAAGGAGAGAGGCCAGTTTGCATTTCACAGGCTTTTACATTATAATGGACCTTAATAAGATTAAAAGGTATAAACGTAGCCTCCAAAATGAAGAATATGTTATCTTGAGAATGACATTGAATTCTTCAATCTTGCTGTAGTTTTGATTATATAAAAGTGGTATTTGACAGCTAACTCATTCCAAGTATCTGGGAAGTGCATGGATCCTTAAATTACTTGATTGTTTCAAGTATTTGTTCATTTTGCCTTTGGGGACTCGTCATTTCATTCAAACCACTAAATTTGTGTTATGTGCAGGAGTTTTTATTGTCTGTGAGGGAATATTCCACATGTAAAATGGAGCTTCAAGAGGAGTCTTCATGATGGGATGAAATTCAGGCTCTCTAACTTTGTTTGATGGAACCTACCTCCCAATCACTGTTTCAGTGTAAAAAGAAAAAGAATTTTTAAATGATGTAAATTATAAGAAATGGTATCTTGTTGGTCACCAAGTTAGATGTGGAATCTTTGTTACATGACAATTTGAGGTTCAACACCATTCGATTTTTTTTTAATTGGATCCTAATAACTTGCGAATTCTAATGTCTCATTTACACCCCTAGTCATATCCGCATGCATTATGCATATGTTCAAATATAAATATTTGACACGAATAGTGAATATTAACATTTTTATGTAAAAAAATTGGAGAGTCAAAGTGATGTTTTCCGCTTGCATGGAACAATCATTTATCCAGTATTTTTTTTATTTCTTAGCACTCGATGAAAAGTAATTTATTATAAAATTTTCTATGCAAATGTATACATATCATGGTAACAAGATGGTGTTCCTGAGCTTATTTAAGACATGCATTTGTTGTTTTCTATGTTTACTTCATCCAATTTTCTATACAAATGTATATGTATGTATACATATCCGATCGATCTTCTAGGTCGGATACGGGTGCTACAAATTCAAATTTTTTTAAAATAGTATTGAGTATTTATAAGGGTAATATTTGTTCAGAATGTTTCTTAATTGTTAATAACATACACCTCGAGTTACGTGACTTGCAAGTACACATATCTGACCTCTCTCTTCTCGGTCATAATTCCATATGATTCTGATCTTTCAGCCGTGGATGGTCACACTTACGTTTCATCGGCTGTCCTCAAATGTTAGGTCGATGGGTTGAGGGAGTTGATAAAATCTATTTTAAATTCTCATATAATTTAAATATTTTCTTTATACTTTTCATTAATAATCCATTTTCATCGTTATAAATTATACGCACGAGTAGGGTTGCACAGAATTCGGATTTCAATCCGATTCGGATCGGTTTTTATCCGATCCAGTTTTTTCCCATAGAAAAAAAAAACCAGTTTATAAAATAACCGGTTCGGTTTCTAACCGGTTTGGAGGGCCTGATATCCTAACCGGTGTAACCGGTTTCGGTTTTAAAAAAACCGGTTTTTTTAAAAATCCGGTTATAAAAAAAACCGATTTTAATATTATTAAAATTACATCGTCATCAATTGCAACAAAGTTTACGATAATTGAAATACTTAAATACTTCCAAGTTCGATAAATTAAAATACTTAAAAACTTCCAAGTTCGATAAATTCAAATACTTAAAAACTTCAAGTTCGATAATTGAAACAAAGTTTACGATAATTAAAATAAAGTTTAAAAATAAACTACATTGCCATCTCTTCTTCATCATCTTCGCCTTCTTCGTTTGGAGGGGATATTCCAAGTTCGACTTCTTCAATGTGTAAGTTTACTTCCAAATCGGCATCAATTGCATCTTCTAGGGTGGTAATATGTTGCTTACGAGCCGCTCCATCCAAATAATCCTTCAAACAAATGCATACTTCCACCGACTCGAGACTTAGTCTTGATCTCCGTTGCGATATAACCCTACCACTAACAGAAAAAGCGGATTCCGAACTACCGTAGAAGCTTGGACGGTTAGTAAATCACGGGCCATGGCGGCTAGAATCGGAAATTGTGCTTCCTTTTCTTTCCACCAAGCCAACATATCCAAACTTTCAAACTCTTCAAATGTCATTTTTGATAGAAAATCGCATGACATGTAATTTCCCAACTCGCTACTTGGGGTGGTAGTACGTGATCGTTTGGATTGGAAATTTACAAGGGTGTTAAAAAGATTCAAATTTATGTTACTTGGACGTCTACTAGATGATTCCGCATTCATTCTCATTTGATCGTGTATTACACTACTTGATCCGTATTTAGTTAAATAAATTGCAAACATGTCTCGAAAACATTTGTTAAAATAATTTATTTGGTTTTGGACAAAGTTGGGTTCATCATCGGTTAGATTAAAAGCAAACGCAATTTGTTCAATTAGTGTTTCAAACCCACCAACATTTAACGTTGGGTTTAAAGCGGCGGCACAAGTAAAAATGGGGGGAATCTCCTTAAAATATTTTAAAAGTTTTTCCTTCATTGCAAAGCCAATTTCTTGAAAAACTTCGGTTTCAAATTCAAAGTCATTTAGTCGGGTAGCCAACAAAAATATTTGATTAAGAACCAACGGGCTAGTAGGGTAATAAACACTGGATAAAAAAGTTGTTGCATTTTTAAAAACCTCAAGCAAATCGGTTATTTTGGCTATAGTTTCCCAACTCGAATCCGGATAAATGTTTGGGACATGACCCCTCTCGAAAAGCCGATCGTGAAATGTTTGCAATGTTTCCCTTTGCCTTAAGGCAGTATGCATCATCATCCAAGTTGAGTTCCAACGAGTTGGACAATCCAAATTAGGACCCAAAGCTTTTTTATTAACGGACTTACAAAATCGTTTATAATCATTTAGTCTTTTGTTGTTGTTACAAAGAACCGATTTTATCATTGTTTTAAATTCTAATCTAATTGGCTCAATAACCTCCAAACCGGCTTGCACGGATAAATTAATTATGTGTGCAACGCAACGGGTATGAAAAAACGCACCGTCTAAAATCGGTGAAAGTAATCTTTTCAATCTTGGAACCGCGTTTGTATTATTCGATGCATTATCAAAGGATATAGAAAAAACTTTATTTTCTAATTTATAAAGACAAATTACCCTTTTTAAAAGTGTAAATAAATTAGCATCGGTATGCGGCTCACCGAATAATTCAAACACGATTGTTCTTTTCATCATTTGCCAATTATCTTGATCTAACCAATGTGACGTAACGGCTAAAAAAGAATTTCCGGTATTATGAGGGGAACTCCAAACGTCACATGTAAGCGACACACCATAACGGTGTTCTTTGAATCCTAAAATCATTTTTTCCCTCGCCGTACGCCACATTTTTATAGCATCTCTTTTAAGGGTAGTACGACTTACTTGAGTATAACGTGGTTGTATTAGTTGTTGAATTGTTGTCGTGAAATCTTCATCATCAAAGTGGTCGAACGGCAATGCTTTTGTAATCACGAACTTTGTAAACGCTTCTCGTAATTTTTCGTTGTCGTAAACAAAAACACCACCTTCCGGTGTAAGATTCGATTGACTAGGATCCGATCTTGAGCGAAGTGCTTTGCATGATTTTGTCAAATGGTTCTTCAACGTTGTGTTTCCTTCCGATGCAAGAAACTTTAGACAAAGTTTACAACTCGTCATCCTCGAGCCATTTGACATCTCACATAAATCGTAGTGATCCCAAATATCTTTGTTTCGAGTGTATTCGATCACTCTCACGACTTCAAGGTTTCCCCCGACGGAAGATTCAGCCGTGTTACTCATGATGAACAAAAAATTACAAAAATAAGATTTGAGAGAGTGTTGTGTAATAAGATTTGAGAAAGTTGTAATTAACCAAATACATCCCCAACCTATTTATACATGTTTAGGGTGGTAAAATGGTAATTTTTTAAAGAAAAAAACGGTCAAAAACGATCACAAACGGCTATATTAACGGCTAGTTTTTTAAACCCAAACCGATTTTTTTTTTCCGGATAAAAACCGATTTTTTATCCGGTAAAAAAACCGGTCTAGGTTTTTTTCTCCAAACCGGTTAAAATAACCGGTTTAAAAAAATCCGATCCGGTTAAAAAAAACCGGTTTTTCTCAAATCCGGTTTCGGATATTTTTTTCGCAAAATCGGATATTCGGATTTTTTGTGCACCCCTACGCACGAGTGTTGAAAAGCAATTTGTCAGGAAATGGAAGATTTATTCCTTCAGTCGGTCCCTTATCGATCACTCGCTTTATGCGTACTTTCCGGCAAGAGAGTCACCGCTTAGGGACCGTGTTACTTCCGACTAGAGGTGCACAAAAAATTCGAATATCCGATTTTGGGTAAAAAATATCCGAAACCGGATTTTGGAAAAACTGATTTTTTTTAAACCGGATCGGATATTTAAAAACCGGATAGTATAACCGGTTTGAGAAAAAATTGAACGACCGATTTTTTTACCGGATTAAAAACCGGTTTTTTTGAAACCGGATAAAAAACCGATTTTTTATCCGGATAAAAAACCGGTTTTTTTAAAAAACTGATTTTTTATCCGAAAAAATCCGGTTTTTTTTAAAAACCAGTTTTTTACAAACCGAAACCGGTTACACCGGTTACACCATCCGACCCTCCAAACCTGTTAGGATCCGAACCGGTTTTTTTAAAATCCGGTTTTTGGGTTGGGAGAAAAAACCGGATCGGTTTTTATCCGATCCGGATCGGATTGAAATCCGGCTTCTGTGCATCTCTACTTCCGGCAAACACCACCATATCAAATAGTGGCACACAAGAAGCCTTTTGAGTCTCTTTATGGGCATTTGCCGCCTACTCCCAACGCTTGGACGTCCATTTGATGTTCATATATTTATCAGGTGATAATTGTTTATATTATATAAATATTAATATCATGTTGGTTTTTTCTGGGTAATACGTATTGGATACACACTGTTTTATTACAAGCATAAAAAATCCAACATAAATAATCACACTTGAATAGCAGGCCAATGGGAAGCATAATCACTTGAATAGCAGGCCAATGGGAAGCACGGGTCATCGGCAAGGAGTTGAGGGGCCAGCCGCTGCCGTTTCCCCTGCAATTTAAAGCATATAACGATCAGACTTACCCTATGTTGCAGGGACAGAAAGTACAAGGGATTAATACTGGTGGGGGGAGGGGGGTTCATTGTCCCCTCAAAATATTTCAAAATTTTTATACCGAGAAGATGGTAAAATTATTCTTCTTCCCCAAATATATATAATTTATTATCGACTCCTATAAATTTCAACATTTTTAAATAATCCCAACGAATAATGTTGAATTCGTCACTGCACAAATGTATACCCAAAGTTAAGCATGTCCCTATAGGAAAAACCATGCCCGACGCATCAAAATCTGGGCGACATACATGTTTTTACCTGCAGGTATGAACACTTACCGTTCTTTTCGTCCGATTTTTCTTCATTGGTCGTGTTCCAAATAATATCTTTCAGCCCAGTCGAGAGATTATTATAGAACTGTAGATTTAAGAAAGCAGATTGTAAATTCAAGGTAATTCAAAGCTGAAAAAAGAAGAAGATAAAGGTCAAAAAAGAACAGAACTTGAGAGTACTCACAAAGATAAATTTAACTCCCAACTTTTTTGAATTTTTAATAACATTTACGTTTTTTATGAAATACACAAACTACCAGGTGGGTTGTCGTGTCAACGTCGTTAAACTTTTAATATTCAAGTCATCTTTTTCATCCAAAAGGTAACTTACTAAATTTTGAAAGTTGAGAGCTAAAGTGATCCCCCAAAAAAGGGGCCAAAAAGACAACGTGTAAACATTAGGGACTAAATTTTTCATCTTGCCTAAAATCAGATGGAATACCAATCAACATGCTTTGCATGCCTTTACATGATAAAGTGTGATCATGGTTGGAAGTAACTGTAGCAACCTACGGTACTTCATGTTTATTAAAATACCCGTACCCGGCGCATATTTGGACATCAGTATGGGGGTAAAATCCTCCAAATATATAAGAAAAAAATCAGTCTCAAACATGAACCCATATCCGACTATCATCCACAAAAGTGATTAACATAGCATATTAACTACCCATAGACCTAGAATTAATATTTAATAGCAGAGCATTCTGATAAGTAGAAAACATAGCAGCATATTAACATTTGGTCTAAAATACCTTGTGAAATTCCAGGGTATCCCCTCCAGATTTACGAAGTTCAACCATGCAAAGTGAAGGAGCCAGCTGGAAAACCTGGAAAGGGAAAAGAGGCAATGTTGGGGGAAGAACTACACATCCAATCATTACAATGATGTTTTTGAACAACTTTAAACGAAGGCACCGATACTATGCTCAAAAGATAAAGTCTGAAAGAGGCGTACCTCAGTTGTAACAGCCAAATGACCCTTACGTCCAGTTTTTTCTCCACGAAGCTTCATCTGAGATGGATAAAAGGGATTTCATAAGAAATGAGAGAATAATTTGAGGATTAAATATACCATATCAATTTAGTTACACATGGATCTTTCGTTTTCAACAAGAAAAACCCAAAGAAATAAATATTTGAAGCAATGTGTGCTGAGTCTTCATTTTTCTTTGAAGTACCCGTACTTGACATTTGTGTCTGACAAATGAGTATAAAAATAGGGTTTCCATGAAATATATGAAAAAGTTAAAAAAATCTGGCCATATTTGTGTCGGATACACACATGAATCCAAGTAACAGATTTGAAGTGCCTAAAGCAGATCCCATGCGAAAGAACTTGGCACCGAAACACAATCTTTCACCAAACGAGGCGGTAAAAAGCAACAATCACGACTAAATCAAGTTCAATCAGTGTCCATCAAAAATAGAACCATGGCTAACACTGAAAAAGTAATAAAGTTATTATGAAATGATAAAATCTGACAAGCAAGCAAGAAAATGGGCAACTTTTTTTTCAACAAACACAAGTTCATCAATCCAAATTTCTTAGGAATATTACACAGCAAAAAAAAAAAAAAGCAGAGGTCAGAAGAGATTAAACCTTGTGGTTATTTTTCTTCACATCAAAACCCAAGGGCATTGCAGCATTTTCTATTTTCGAGATTATCTCATCAGCAGGCCGTTTTGAAGTGAATCTTGTTTCCCGTTTAACTAGACCCTGTAATTGGAAGAAATTGCAACCACATTATCTTTTCAATGTTACATAGAGTAAGATAACAAATGATATCCCCAAGCATAAACAGCCTATACAGTTATGACTGCATATATCCAATCAGACTAGACAGTTAGCATAGACCTTTTTTTATCAGTAAATCAACCGGGCATCCTCGAGAACTAAATTTTCGGTATCAGATAAAAAGGACAATAAACAATGAATATAACAGGCTAATTATATTGCATGCTTTAACTGTTTAAAATCATTTTCGTACAACTGTCTGGTTCAAGAAAGTTATTCAAGGAATCTTCATGATAAAAAAATTTTTCTCAACTGTTCATTTTCCATATTTTGTCTGCTATTATTACATAGCCAGTCCAATATAAATGGTTAACATACCATTTGCTTTTCAAACAAACTACCGAGGTTGAGACCCTGTGATGTTGAAATAAGTTCAAAAGCATTCATAGTTGCAGGTACTGCAGGCCCTTCTTCCCGCCGTTCAACAACAAGGTTTCGAGAATCCTACTAGCAAAATCATGTGCACTGACTCATCCCATTCCATCAACACCAAAAAACCACTTCCCATATAAAAAAATATATGCCTCTTACCCCTGATTCATTGAAAATGGCATCCACATCAACAAGAGCAGTGTCAGCTTGCTCAAACCTAGGTAGTATATATCCTTTCTTAAACCATTCATTCTGATAAAGCTCGGCAGCTGTTATCCTCTGGTTTAATCACAACTAATAGTGAAAATTGTATCAAAAAAATTAAAAACGCTAGCTACCATCCAAGCACAAAATTAATCAAACAAATACCACCAGAAAAAAATAATAATAAAGGGAGAACTAAAGAAAGCACAGAGAAAAGGTAAGAAAAGAATCTACTGTCAGTGGGTTAGGGTCCAGGATTCTCTTGATTAATTTCTTGGCATTTGAAGAGAACCATGGAGGACAACTGAAGTCAGCCTTGGATATCTGCAGTCCCATAAGAACTTTAAATTTAGAAGATACAAGTTAACTAATCAGTAACATGACATCGTTGTTATACATAGATACAAACATCAAAAGCATCGTTCTTTTGTGCATAATTGTTTTCTTATTGGCATTCCCCACGGTACTGTCCTACCTGCTAGAGTTATAATTTCTTCAATGCAAGAAGTGAAGGTTTCACAAGACAATGATCACCAATAACTAAGACTCATAATATTTTAAATAACAATGTTGATTGAAGAGATGCAAATTGAAGACTGGCTAATGATAGAATCCAAATCGATATTTACCAAGAGAAAATTGATTATGTCCAGAATATGAATGATGAATCCATTTGATTCTTTGATTAACATGTGTCGATGGTGATATGATAAAACATGACAGTTCTCGTGCAGAAGTGTTCGAGTAAAATGGAAATAGAACTTTACGATATGGAAACAGAGAGAACAAAAACCTTTTTATACAGAGCAACTATATTGGAGTCCTCAAAAGGCAAATAACCAGACATTAAGACAAAGAGTATCACACCACATGACCACAAATCTGCCTTGGCTCCGTCATAGCCTTTATTGTCGATCACCTAAATATTGATAGCACAATAGCAACAAAAATTAATGAATCATATAGAAAAAGAATCTTCTTTTTATTGCAACAAAAGCAGTGTACCTCTGGAGCAACATAATTTGGTGTTCCACATGTTGTGTGAAGTAACCCGTCTGCCTATATAAAAAGGGTAAGATAATCAATTCTGAACAACATTTAAGACCAAGCAAGACTTAAACTACACATGCAAAGTAAGGACAAAGTCATCTTTCACTGAGGTGAAAAAGAGATTAGGTTCCATGAGATAACACAGAGCAAGAAGTCATAAAAGTATTCCCTAACAAACATAATCTTGGATAATTATTATCATCAAGAGAAAGTGAGAAATTTCATATAACAAACTCACTCGAACTTGCTGAGGTAAAGCACTCAAACCAAAATCTGAAACTTTAAGAACTCCATTACCATCCAGCAGCAAATTCTCTGGCTGTAAATTGCAAAACAAAGTTATGCTTATTAAAGAAATTTACAGATTTAACTGCTATAGGAAAAATGCTAATGAATACAGAATATGTACCATACCTTGAGGTCTCGATGGTAAACACCTCTGCTATGGCAGTAATCAACAGCATTAATAAGCTGCTGAAAATACTTTCTAGCTTCATCTTCCTTTAACCTCCCTCTGCTTGCCTGGCAGAGGAAGATAACAAGACAAAATGTCAGATTATTATGCAGTAATAAAAAATTGATGCCCAACTGAGCTCCGATTCCTGAAGCACTTCAACATTCCAAGAGTAAACACAAATTTGTTTCAATCTATATCTTACAATCTTGTCAAAAAGTTCACCACCAGTCACGAGTTCCATAACAATGTAAATTTTCGTCTTGCTAGCCATCACCTGCACCGTGTATATTTCGGTAAGTTACCAAGAAATGGAGACATAACTTACCAATATTAATTATAAAGCCAAGTGGTGAGATGTCAGTCCGAATATAAAGAGAGAAAACAAGATGCAAGGAAAAATGCATGGAGATCAACAAAGTAACTAAACTAAGATAGACAGAGTAAAACTATGCGGCAAACCTCATACAAGCGGATGACATTTGGGTGTACGATGAGTTTCATTGTTGAAATTTCTCGCTTAATCTGAAAAGGAAAAAAAGAAAAAACAATGAAGCAAAAGTAAGGTAAAAGGGAAATGAGATCAAAGGAGAAAAAGCCCGTGAATGTTAAGAAGGATACAAATACAAGGTAAAAGAGAAATGCAGGTAAATGGAGAATCAGGGGATGTCTTAACTCTTAACAGTTTTTTTATAGGAAAACTCTTAACAGTTCAAAAACGAAGTTTATTAAATTCAAAACCAAAAAAATTTAAAAGGAAAATTTCATCACAATTTTACCGTTTATTATCATTTGAAAGAATAATTTTCCATCTATGGGTAAAATATGGAGTAACCATATGATAGACATATAAACAAAAGCTAATTTCAGTTCAGAACATTTAAAAATGCAGTATTAAGTCAAGCTCATAAATAATGCATGTTATAATTGCCACCAACATAAAGGCTATGATATCTAGACTCTTCATTTTCCGTAAAAGAAAATGTGTACCACACTTGCTTGAACAAAAATCCGGGCATGAGTATGGGAGTTTGATCCTCAAAATATATGAGAAAACTTAACAAAAGTTTAGCATACCTATGTCGGGGGCCCATACTAGTATCCAACACTCACCCCGGGTCAGACTAAAAGCTTACTAACCCTATGTTGAGTAACATAGCATGGAGGGGAATTAAACCCAGTAGAAAAAAATCTTGTGTATTGAATTACCATACATATTGAATCATACCTTCTGTTGCAAGCTGATTTCTATTCTGAAAAAAGTCTAGGATAATTGCTAGTTATGAAACAACGAATCACTTTTTCTTTCATTCAAATATGTTAATCACTATGGAGAACCAAAATTACTCAAATGAGAAACTATTTCAATTTTTTCACAAATTAAGTTGACTTTTTTTAGTGGATTGGGGGGGGGGAGGATAAAAGCTTCATTGTTTAGTTTTTAATGTTTTACACGTTCCACAACCAATCAATCACTAAATCATCATTTTTTATCACAATTCATAATCCAGTCACAAGAAAAAACAGAGAAAAGAATATCAAAATCAATAAATGTAAGGAACTAAGAGAGGGAAAAATGAAATTATAAGTCAAATTATGCTTAGCATCAAGTTAATAAAAAACTCAAAGAGCTGAAAAATAATCAAAGTAACCGATAATCAGTGATTAGTTCCATTATCTGGAAATCAATCAACCACCTGATCAATCATCTTGTGTTAATTAATCTAACTAACATTCACTTAGAGATTTATTACTCGAATAAAAGTTACCTGATCAATCATCTTGTGCTTCAAAACTTTATCTTTGTCAAGAATCTTAATCGCCACATTCTCCCCGGTCTCCAAATGCCTCGCAAATTTCACCTTCGCGAATGTTCCTTCTCCCAGCGTTCTCCCTAGCTCGTACTTCCCCACACATGTCCGGCTCGATGAGCCACTGCGAGTCGCCATCACTTCCTCTCCAAATCCTTTTGTTTTGTTTTTTCCTCAATTATTTTCCTTAATCCCCCTTGGTTTCCAGTATGTTTCTTCTAAAACTTGCTATTGATCAAAGACCTCTTCTTCTTACATGGCTGCCATACCTGAGACTTGGCCACCCTCATTTTTTTTTGAGGAGATCAAGATCCTATCAAGATTGAAAAGGGGAAACAGATTTATAGGTTGGAGAGAGAATAATTAGATGCGGTGGGCATGGGTTTGGATATGGTTCCCATAAAATAGACGAAATCGAATTGAGAAGAAAATGAGAAGGGGAAGAATTGAAGATTAGATGGGAGATTAAAATGTAGAAATGGAAGCAGAGAGTAGATCTAGTCTATGGAGGTTCTGTATGAGACCGGGATGATCGATTAGTTACTAGGCAGAAGGTTAGACGAAGTCTTGTATTTCTTTTTTGGTAAAATACACGCAAGGTCCTTGAACTTTTAAAAAAATCAATATGACCCTCGTCCTATTTTTTGGATCAATGTGATCCTTTGACTTGAAAAAAAAACTCAATAGGATAATTTGACCAAAATTTTTCATCATTGACTAACATTTCCGTTAACTCCTCAGTTTAATGTTATTATAAATGAAAAATTTATACAATTCATCACTCAATTATATTTTTTCTACCATTTTAGTCAATAAATTTTAAAAACTTTTAATTTAATCACTCAACTTTTGAATTACTCTTATTTCAATCATCATATATTATTTTATTATTATTATTTATGTATGATGTGACATTTATTATTATTATTTTATTAATATATGATTAAAATAATATTAATTAAACTAAAATTTCAAAAATATGATTAAATTTATTGCCATAAAAATTTTGAATCAAATGGGGTTTGAACTTTTCTATGAAAAGTACATCTTGTTCTTCATCATTCTTGGGAAAACCCAGTTTCCAGCCAAGCTCAGTCGCGTAGATCGCCATTGATCAACGCCGGTTGTCGCTCATCAACAACGGAGAAGAGAAAGTTTGGCATTTTTTGATTCTTTTTTAACCCCAAACTCAAATTTAAATTTAGTTTCTTCAAAAAGAACTTCAATCGATGTAGAACTAAAGTTGAAATTAAAGAAAAAATAACAAACAGTTTAATAAAATAAGAATAATAAATACCACGTCATGCATAAATATCAATAAAATAAGTCATAATGATTAAAATAAGAGCAATTCAGAAGTTGAGTGATTAAATTAAAAAAATAAGTTTAGTGACTAAAATGAGAAAAAGAATACATTTTAGTGATGAATGGTGTAATTTTTCATTTATAACAACATTAAACAAATGATCAAATGTTCACATTTAGTTTTTTTTTAATTCGGGCCACATTAAGAGAAAACATAGGACGAGGGCCAAATTGACGTACCATGTTATCATGAATTAATGGAGTCATTGGTCAACAACAGAAATGTTGGTTAAATGGTCACAGTGAGTTGTTTTTTTAAATTAGAAGATCATATTAATCCAAAAAATAATATGTGTCACATTGATTTTTTTGAAAGTTCATGATCTCGCGTGCCTTTTTTGTTTTTTTTTAAATTAATATAATTTTTATATTATTTTTTAATGTGATCATTTAATTAATGTTTTTCATCATTAATTAACGGTTGAGCATGTTAGTGTTAATTACCTTTTTTGTCAGTAATTACTAAGGTTAAAAAAGAAAATTCATCTTTAGATCCTCTAAATTACCCGTATTTTTTCATTTCAGTCACAATGCCTTGTTTGTTTGTTATTTTAAGTTTAATGCACTGTTTTGCTTTTGTTTGATTCTAGTCACTTTCATTTCTGTTATTTATTTAATTTCGAATTTGGCATATTTTTTATTTCATTTTATTTTAGTCATTTTATTTTAATTATTATCGCTTATAACACTCGATACAACTGTGCGGTGAGCCGTCCTGAGGTACGACCAACGTTATATGTCCTGGTAAAATTTAATTCTAATTTCTAAACACTAACCGTTAACTTTTAATTTTCGCATTCACATTAATTTTAAACCTTGCGACGACTTGTCCTAGGGTACGACTCGCATTATTATGGTCTGAGTAATTTGAATTTGCTAACGGTTAATTATTAACTCTCAAAATATTCGGATTAATTCTATGACTTCACGATAACCCAGAGATACGACTCACCTTATTATGATCTGGGTAAAACTTAAAAAATTGATCACTAACCCTTTAATTTTATTTGATTCTTTAAATTTTTGTTTTTATTTTTTCCTTTAATTTTAGTATTTTAAATTTCCACCCCTTTAATTTCCAATTTTTAAATTTTAGTCCTTCAATTACTAAAATGAAAAAAATAATAATAATAGATTCAAAATTGTATGAATGTTATTCAAAAAGAAAATAAACACAATGCGCGTCAAAGATACATATTTGCACAAGCACAAATTAGACAATGATTACGATGACTCATATATATGGATCTTATATTCAATCACCGAATGAGTGAATGTCTAAAATATTATATTTAAACACTTTAAAAAATTCGTATAAAAACATTTATAATAACATGATAAAAACTTGCATATTTTGAATTGTCAAATATAATTCTTAAATATGATCAGATTCGTACTAATACGATGATCAAAGAAAATTATAGATATTGTGATCCTAAGTATTTCATAAGAAAACAATTGTCTTTGATTCTTGTATTGACAAGAAAATCAATAATTTTTTGTCATGATATCTTCACATCTCTCATTGTTGTATATGATTTTTAAAAAATATACGTTTAAATAAAATCTTTTAAGCATGCACTTATTGAGTTATTAAATACAAAACATATATACGTGTGTCGTTACCACCCTCATTCGTCCGACATGTGCTCGTATAAATATGTATCTTCGACACATACTAAACATGTTATTTATTTTTGAATAAAATTGATGAAGTTTTAATTTATTAATCTCATTTCTTATATTTTAGTCTTATATAACGTTATCATAAAAGATTATTAAAAAATTGTACTACATAGGCAAAGAGATTACAATGTTATATTAAAAATCCTATTAATTTTTTAACAGCAACCTCCGTAGTAGATTTGTTAGATAAATACCTCTCAAACTGCACAAGTAGGATTACCTCGCGTCCTATACAGCTCGAGAATGTGTCTCACATTTTGTAGGATACGAGGTACTATACACTTTTCAGATTACCCAATTTAATATGTTTATTTAGTATCTCGTGTTTCTCAGAACGCCAGGTACCCGAGATATTACGAAATTATCGTTCATAGAATTTTCGAGATTTAAAATTTAAAAAGATTCTTGATACCTCGTGTTTCATACAACGCAAGTTACCTTTTACCCCTCGCTTCGGAAAGAGTGCAAGGACCATTATAAATAGGCTTTCATCCACATGAGTTATTCACACCTTCATTAAAAAAAACTCTCTCTCATATATTCTCTCTCATATTATTATGGCATGACTACTAAGAGCTGATCTTCCACATGTATCCATCTACTGGTGGGAAAATACAACGGTATTTTTTTATTTCAAATTTATTATGGATTTATTTCAAATTTATTTGTTTATTTATTTATTTATTTATTTATTTTGGACTTATTTGTTTATTTATTTCAAATTTATTTATTTATTTTGGACATATTTATTTATTCAACACGAATTCATTTATTTATTTCAAATTTATTTGTTTATTTATTTGTTTAGAGATTATTATTTATTTATTTGAAGGTATATGAACGTTTGTTGATGAGTTTTATCAACTGTTTCCTGTCCCCTAATGACAATATTATTCTATATTTGCACAAAGCCTGTTTTGGTTACATTGGAACTATAACTGGTGATACGAAGTTGCATCTTCCATTGATAAACTTGTTGATTGAACGATGGAGACTGGAGACACACACATTTCATTTTCCTTGTGAGGAGGAGACTATTACCCTTAAAGATGTCGCATACCATCTTGGGCTACCTGTTGATGAAAATCCTATTATCTATATGACTCATGAGAACTGGGGAGTCTTGTGTGAAGAGTTGCTCGGAGTTACTCCAATAGAGGAGGATTTGGATGGATGGAATATCTACATTAAATTTTTGGACAATTTTACACATCTTCCCGCCAGTGTTGCTTCATAAATTAAACATGTAATTATTCAAATCTATGTTTATCTATTGTAATTTATTTATTTATAATATTTAAATTTTGTTTTAGTTTATGTTATTGTAATTTTTTACGATAAATTTTAAATGTATTCGCACCATTTTTAACAATTTGTTTGTGCTCATATTTTACAAGTTATTGGGGGTTCTTGATGCCTGGTAAATCTCGAAACAAAGTGCATCTGACGTGGTTGTATCATCTATGCGATTTGCGGGCCTCTAAAAATATGATTTGGGAATCGATAATATTGGCCTTTTTGTTCCGTGAGATATGTAAAGGTGTTAATCCGAACAAACAAGCAGTTGGAGGCTATTTGATGTTGTTACAATCGTGGGCTTGGTTTTGAATGCCCTTTTTATCATTAATTCCTTTACAACCGACCCCATTACAATTTCCTCTACTTCTGAGGTAATTACAAATAACCTACGTTTATATATGTTTATTACTACATGTTTTTTTTAGTTTTACAAATAATTGTATTTAATTATTGAATGATAGGTGAACCATCACACTTACTCACACCCATATACCAAAAACTGTGTCATTTTAGATTGTCGATCGATAAGACGACAGACGATGTAATCAATTTTATAATTTTAATTTGTAAATTAAATATCAATTTTTTATTCGATTTTTTCTAACATAGTTTAAAAAATATTTTTGTAGTTTGTGTGGACGTCGTACAGCGAAGGTGCTATTACAACGTGTACTACAAATGAGATATGTCACAGTTCGCAAATTTAGATGTCAGTGGTCATGTTGATAGTCTATAAGATCATTGAGTGGCATCTTGATGATCTCGTGTTGCGACAATTTGGTAGTGTCCAAACGATTCCGCCACCACCAACAACCTTGGATTGGACATTGCATTGCCTAAAGCGACAAAGGAAGACGAATGTTAATTGGAAGGTGTATTATGTGGATTGGGAGATATAGTGGATGGTGAGGTTCATTAGGCAGCCCGTTTCTAAACCTATCTTGGCCCACGTTGTTTGAGATTATTACATTCTATGGTATGAGCAAAATGTGATACCACATATATCGAATAAGGAGGAGTGAGCGCGAGACATTTATAGACGTTTCCAAAATCGCCTGCCCATGCAACATCCCGCGACACAACGTCTCCTGACACAACGTGGTGCAAGTCAGAGTAAATGAAAACACACTCAACCCTCATAATTACGAACGTCACAATAGCCACCTATAGTGCATCAGACATTGTTGACGACACCTACATTCACCCACTCGACTTAGTCAACATTTCAACATATGGCGACTCATTCATCAACTCATCATTTTAGTATATGGTACTATTGACTACATTTTTTTTCACAGACACATTTCGTTCCTATCTAGCGATCTTTAACCATTCTCATTGCCTTCATGAACCAACTGAACCATATTATTTGTCACCTTCTTGTGCATCTGTTCGACCATTGGCAACAGACTTCAGATGCAACAGTGTTGAGCAGATGCCGCCACAGAGCATGCTCTACACCAGTCTTAGTCCTAGTGGCAGTGGTGGTAGTGGCCATGTAGATAAGGGTGATAATGGTGGTGGTGATGGTGATCAGAGTGATGATGATACCCCCAAATATAGATTGATTCGTAGAAATCCTCTTCGGACTCATCGTCCACCACAACGCAGTACAAGTGGACATAAACATCATTTCTTCGAACTGTATTTTCTTTTTTTAGTTAATCAAACTTCGTTTTCTTTTTTATTTAAAAAAATAGTATTCGAATATAATGTTATAGTTTTTAAAAATTTGTTTAAATTATTAATCAACTTTAAATTATTAATTTCTTTAAATTATCCTTGAACTATGATAATTAGTTGTTCGGATTGATGTATAAACAACTTGGAATCATCATTTTCTCACATAAATTTTATTTTAATACTAATTTAAAAAGATTATAAAAAAACAAACTACACGAGTTGTTTATCGCTCTCTATCCTGACGTTCACGGGCAATACGTAGCAGAACTGGCTTTTTATCCTCATAGTCTTGTGATAACCGAGTTACTAATTCATTGCTTATTGAATATGATTCTTCATCAAACGTTACAGTTAACTTGATGTTCCTACCACTAATATGTGTGTAAGCCTTAAACATCTTCTGAAGGTCGCTTGTATTCGATAAGGTCAACATGTAATGTGCTTCAGTACCAATATTTCCCACATAAACTTTAGCTTGCAATGAAGACATCTGTCGTGTTGTAGAATTTTTTAACTTCAATTGAAATCAAATCATGCAACTCGTATTTCTTAATCTTGGCATTAAATGGTTTAAATCATTTGTGGTCAAAAAATTAATAAAATTGTTAACGTGAGATTTTGTTTTCAATGATGATGTGATATTATTTTGTGGTGATATGTCAATATTATTATTAATTTTTTTAATGTTGAATGACCAAAATGAAGCCAAAACATAACATTAAATATGATTTTAAAAAAATAGTTGAGTGATAAAAATATAACCGCACAAATACTTGGGTGACTAAATATGTAGTTTACTCTATTTTTAATGACGAATTACCAAAACGAAACTAACGTTAGGAATGATATAAAGAATATTGAATGACCAGAATGAAACTGCAAGAATAAACAAATGACTAAATATGTAATTTACCCTAGAAAAAACTCTCAACCAACCCTTACTATTGATGATTGACGGTTAGCCCCAATCACCTCACAAGGATGACGTCATGCATGACATCAGTGGAACCGAGCTCCGATTGACCGCGTCATCTTCGAAGTCATCCAAACCATTTCATCTCCCTTTCGAAAGCGAAATATATAAATTCTTTTTTTTTAGAAAAAAAATAAAAAAATAGAGGGAAAATTAATTTTTAATTATTATTATTATTAGTATTATCCACCATTGACCTTCTTCCTTTGTCCCCCCAAGTCTTCGGCTCTTCATTAACCATCAAATTCTCTCTCTTTGATATCTGCCAAGTTTCCATTTTTTTTATTACATTTTATAAGTCAAATAACACTGATATTCATTGGGATTTTCCTTTTTCAGGGATGTGATTCTTGGTCTTTTCTAAAAACCCTTGTTTTTCTTCTTCTCCTTCCCTTGTTATGATAGTCAAGAGGTCCTGGAAATTCAAGCAAGTTTGGTTTTTTTATTTATTTGCTTTCAGTCATGTGATTTCGTGACAAAGTTTTAATTTTTAACATTTGGGTTCTTAGATTAAGATTTCAATGGCTAATTTGTCCGAGCCATCATCTTCATTGAGCTTCAGTTCATCGTCTCATCTCTCAAATGGCTCAATCACTCACAACATCCCTTCACTTCCCCTTCCCGAAACCTGTGCAAACCTCGAAGTTGTAAGCTTGACCAAGCTTAGCTCAAGCTTAGAGCACCTTATTTCAGACGATTCCCCCCCTTTTAGCGACGCAGAGGTAGTCGTTGAAGGTGTTTCAGTGGGTGTCCATAGATGTATTCTAGCTGTTCGAAGCAAGTTCTTCAATGAACTGTTCAAGAAAGGGAATGGGTCTGGGGAAGAAGAAGAAGATGCGGGGAAGAAGAAACCGAGCTACAAGATGAGCGATTTCTTGCCTTATGGCAAGATTGGGGTTGAAGCTTTTCAGGTCTTGTTGAGTTATTTGTATACAGGGAAGCTCAAGGCTTCTCCCATGGAGGTTTCCACTTGTGTTGACACTGCTTGTGCACACGATGCTTGTCTGCCCGCCATTAATTTTTCCGTCGAGTTGATGTATGCATCGTCGATGTTTCAAGTGCCTGAGATGGTTTCACTTTTTCAGGTCTGTAAAGTTAATTTTAGTTATTTTTTGATAAATGATCATTACAAGTCAACGCAATAGAATTTGATCAATCCTTTTTTCTGTGGTTAAGGTGAAAGAATGTATATTAATTTTATTAATTTCATTTATTATATGTATATTTGCAGCGACGGCTTCTTAATTTTGTTGATAAGGCTCTGGTAGAGGATATTATTCCGATACTTGAGGTTGCTTTCCATTGCCAGTGTAGCCAGCTTGTTTCGCAATGTGTCGATAGGGTGACGAGGTCGGATCTCAATAGCATCTCCATCGAGAACGAGCTTCCCTACGAGGTTGCGGAGAGTATTCGGATTCTCCGCTGCAAGCCTCCACCTGAAGGGGAAGATGAGGAGGCAGCTGTTGTCGATCCTACCAGAGAGAAAAGAATCCGGAGAATACACAAAGCGTTGGAATCGGACGATTTCGAACTCGTTAAACTACTTTTAAGGGAGTCGGACATAACTTTGGATGATGCCGCTGCCCTCCATTACGCAGCTGCGTATTGTGATCCCAAGATCGTTTCCGAGATCCTCGCCCTGGGCCTGGCCGATGTCAATCAACGGAATTCTTGTGGTTATACCGTTCTTCACGTGGCTGCAATGCGGAAAGAACCGTCGGTGATAATGTCGTTTCTAGCGAAGGGGGCATTGGCTTCGGAACTGACGTGGGATGGACGGAGCGCTTTTAACATCTGCCAGAGGTCGACGAGACCGAAGGATTATCACGCGAAAACAGAGCAGGGAAAGGAAACGAATAAAGATCGGATATGCATCGACGTTTTAGAGAGGGAAATGAGGAGAAATCCGATGGCTGGAGATGTTTCCATGACGTTGCATACATTGGCCGATGACATGCACATGCAACTTCTGTACCTAGAGAACCGAGGTATTACTCTATGCAGGGATTTCCCTTGGCTCTTTATCTACACTCTAGCTTGTAATATATCTTTATATGCCGTCTCGAGTTTCTGCGAATAGTATCGACCATGTCAGAATAGTGTTTAGGAGATTATAAGTGTTAATAAGCCACATAGTTTGAGTGTGTTCATGGAAGAATTGGAGTTGGATCCATTCCCCAGTATGCATATGGCTAAGATTGCAGACTAATTGCTAACTACGTTTTGGTTCATTTTCTGAGCTGAAAGACTCATTGTTAATTGAGAATGTATGATGCAATGAAATACTTTGTACAAGCCGGGTTTCGGGTTTTGCTTAGTTGGCTTTTCAATCGACTCGTTCATGGTAACATTTTCTCTTTATGATTCGATTTAATGTATAGTTCTGCTCATTTGCATTCATCCTTGCACTTAAAAGCTGCATATGATTGGTTGTGAGTTTGTTTTCTTAACAAAATCATCTCCAAGTAATGTTGCCCATTGCAGTCGCGTTCGCGAGGTTACTTTTCCCGAGTGAAGCAAAACTTGCCATGGACATAGCACATGCTGAAAGAACCTCAGAGTTTTCCGGCCTCTCATCAAAGGGTTTGAATTCGAATGGGAACTTAAGTCGGGTGGACTTGAATGAGACGCCCGTGATGCAGAAGAAGAGACTTTTTGCAAGGATGGAGGCCCTTATGAAAACAGGTGATGGAACATTTTATATAACCCCGCATGTTTTTTGGTGCCACTGTTGGTTTAAATGATGTGATTGTTGTTTCCGACAGTCGAAATGGGCCGGCGTTATTTCCCGCATTGCTCGGAAGTGCTAGACAAGTTCATGGAAGACGACCTTCCCGATTTGTTTTACCTCGAGCGCGGCTCTCTGGAGGAGCAGAAGTTAAAGAGCTCGCGTTTCAGGGAGCTGAAGGAGGATGTTCAGAAAGCATTTAACAAAGACAAGGCCGACTTTAACCGCAACGGATCGACTTCGTCTTCGTCGTCTTAGTTAAAAGACCGCAGACCGTATAAGCTCCGGAAATTATGAAGAAATGTGGGTGTATTCGTGAGATTAAAGCTTAAGAAACCATTAAAATGTCAGTAGTGGTCTTGAGAAGTTGGATTGCATTAGAAGATCTCAACTGATTCATAACTCTTTTAACCCTTTTCATGACCTTGTGTGGCTTGGTTTTAACTGAATTTTTGAAGTAAAACCCTGAGTAGCTGCTTGTGTGGCTGGACCTTCAGGATGGACTTCTACGAAACACTTCACGAACCGTGCGTCGGAACACGCAAGGATCGTGCTCAACGACAACATCGCCTTGGCTGCTCCTCTCTCCCTTAGCCACACGTACATCGAAAATCTTTGATTAATTCTTTCCACGTCGTAACATAAATATGCTGGACCGATTCGAGCGGGTATCCTAATGAATTCTTTAAGCAATCTATTTTCTTCTCCAGTACTTCCTTCGACTGGTTAAGCACCGTCGGAGCATGTTTGATTAGGTTCATGACGACGTTGCTGTCCAAACTCGCGTTTACCAAGCAATCGAATATCTCCTGCAATTGATCCCCTCTACCTCGGAACTGCTTCAATGCTTTCAACATCTCGTCCGAGTTTTCGAGATAACCTAATCTCCGTAAGAATGCTGTTTTCTCTAGATAAGTACTCGGGTGTTTCCGAGCTACCTGCATATCGCATTGGACCTCGGATTTAGAAGCCAGAGTGAACCATTTCAGAGGATTTGTCTTTATAATTTCGCTTAACTCATCTTTCTTAACATTCAGCTCTCTACAAACTGTTTTAGGTCCTTTCAAAGAATACAAACCCATTAGTTCCATGTGTGTAGAGACAATGTGTGCGATATCTTCGGATTGCATCGCGATATCGAACAAGAAATATACTCATATACTCCATGGGCAGGGCAGATCATCGTGCTCGGCCCAGTTCGTCTCCAGCAACTAGGCATTTGGATAATAAGATTAGGGATTCAAATAGCAGCAGCGTCGCGGTATAATGGCCGTTATATCGCGGTTGCGGTGCTGTCCGTTGTTGTTATTGTCTAAAATAACGGTGTGAATCAGATTCACACCAATAGCAATCATAACTTGATCGATAACGACCACAATTTAACGGCTAATGGCCGATCGCGGTGATAACGGATCATTATTGCCTTTTCTTCTTCCTGATAAACCAAGTCAAGAACAAGGATTCAATCATTCAAAAAAAAAATTAACTTAAAATAAGTATACGATCATCTTGTTTCTTGCTTTAATTGTTTCTTTCTTGTTTTTCTTTTGATGTAACATGCAAAATTTTGAGAAAAAGAAGGAATTTGAGGAGTTAATAATTTTTTTATTTTATTTATATTTTAAATAATTTTTATAATCTATTATTCTATGCAATAAGCTTTTTTCATTATTAGTAATGCTTATTATTTTTATTATATTATCGATAATAGAAGTAATAGATTGTTTATATTTCTAAATTTTAATTTTATCTTCATGTTTCTTGTATATAAATAATGGGTAATTTTATAGGTTAATTTGTTCTTTTATGGTTTTAAGATTTCAATAAATATTTATTTCTTTAGTAACATCCGATTGTTGTATTGAAAACTTTGTGCAATTCTTACTCCGCGTTGAACTCAATTTTTAAAAATTATGTTCACGTATTAATAGAAGTTTATATGTGTTAGAAAACTCTCCAAAAATCATTAAAGATGATTTTTTATAATTATAATTATAATTATTATATTTTATAATAAATTATACAAATTTAAAAAAAAACATGTTCGTGATACTCGTAGTGACCCCGATAACATCCGTTATGTCCGCAATCACGATAAACGCAATACGACCACAATTTAAATATCTGAATAAGACCCCATTTCTGTCCAATTCAGTGCATATCGGTCGAAATTTTGACGAGGACGAAAGGACGCCCTTAGATGGGGTTTCTGCTCCGCGTAGAACTTAGTGATTCTAGACATGTGGAGCTCAAGCTGGAGTCTGCTTATTCGGGTAGGGTTTCAGGTCGGCATGGATCGACACCGGTGTCTCCGCTGTCAACTGGAGGGGGGGGGATTCATACTCTGTTAGAGTATCTGAAGCTGCACATATTGGCTTGGGTTCTCAGACTTCGGGTTTGAACGCTGGGCAGGCTGCTTTGGGATTGTACCCTAATGCTTGGACATCTCGGAAGGATGCGACATTAAGTGCTCTGGAGCCTGTACAATCGGCATGGTCTGAGCAAACTGCCGCCTCAAAGTTGGCTCATGCTAGTGCTCTTGAAAAGGTTTCTTCGGGTCGATGGCAGTCAAAGCAGTCCCTTCAAGCTCAGAAAGATATCAAATTTAGTAAACATTCGGAAGTGGAAAATGGTTTGCCCTCCCAGGGTTATGGTGATAAGATGTACAGCAGAATGAGTTTTGCCGGTGGTAGGGAGTATTCGGATGTAACATTGGCAAGGAGTGTAGAAAAGGGATTGAATATTGGCGAAGGAATTCACGGTGGTGGTAGAAAGGAGTTACCCAACTATGAGAGGAACCATAGTCTTAATTATTTGGTCCATGGTGAAAGAGTTCGGTCGACTCATTCAGATGGAAAACTCGGTGGTTATGAATTGCTGTCATCACCGCCAGCGCTGCTGGAAGCATCTGAATGACCCAAGTTGAGGTTACAACCTCGGACCAAGCCATTAGATGGTCCAAAATCACCTGTTGTTGAACCTAAGCAGGTACTGTTTGTAGGCCATAGAATTGAAGTTAGCTTTCGTGTAATTTAGTCTACTGCTAATTATGATAATTTCTTAAAATAGGGGCACCACCGGCAGAGTGAACCTGTCCTTACTCATGCTGGAATCGGTAACAATGCACATGGCCGTGTGTATACTTCAAAACCCGGTCTAGCTGGTAGTGAGAGTTGGAACCAAACAGTGGATCGTCCAAAGCCTAATTTAAAGCCACGTTCGCATCTCATCGAACTATTGGAAGGGCACATCGAGAAGGAAGGGTCAGCATGTTTCTCAACTTTGACTTAGTGTTGCTCTGTAGATGTGTATCACGGTCTTATGCGCAATGGAAAGAGGAGGAATTTATTGCTGGTTCACTTCTCAGGTTCTGAAGGAGAGAGGGATCGACGACAGCAATCATGAGCCAGTTCAACATCTTGAGAGGTATTAATTTCCTGTATTTAATGCATTCTAGGACATTTTGCGTTTCTCTTTACGGATTTGTTCACCAATTTGCCGAAACTTTAATATTAGCATGTCGTTACTGTTACCCGAAGGGCCAAACATAATGTTCCGAGGACTGGAAAAGTTGTCATCCAAGCAGCTCTTCCCCATGGTGAGAAAGTCGAGAATCATCCTGTTGATCAGAGAGGTGGAAGAAAACTTGAGAGGAATCATCACGTTGACAACGAGAGAGTTGATATGCAGAGGAGGAACTGGCGAAATGGCGGGAAACTGAAAGGCAGCAGCAGCAGCCAGCAAAGGAGAGGCAGCCTTCACCCGAGACCTGGCGTAAGCCTGCAGTGAATACTAAACCAGTATCTACTCAAGCGGCCGGGGTACGCTACGGAAAACTTACATCGGCTGTGGAGCTCGCGCAAGCGTTTTCGAGATCATTCTCTGATCAGAAGATAGATGATGAATATGGTGGGCAAAGCGTTTTTTGGGAATTTATGTATTAAAAATAATATAAATTAAATTCAGTTAATTAATAAGTATTTAGTTTACTTTTCAAGCACTAAATTCGAAATAATAATTTTTAAAATACTCCTTTTAAAGACGTCAATATAATAAAAAATACAAGCTATCATCGAGCTACGCCCTTCTTAGAAAAAAAAAATAAAGCATTTAAATTTTCAATAGTATTTCAATAATTTTAGTTAATTTAATTTTTAAATATTTCTTATTTTTAGATATTTTATATTTTTAAAATTAGATTCAAATAATTTTTATTTTTAAAAACATTAAATAAGTCATCAAACTTTTTAGAAAAATCAATTTGACCTCCAACTCAACTAAAAAATCAATTTAATCTGTCTACTACGTCATAATCCACCATGACAGTCAACGTTAAGTTCTATTGATCAAATTTTAATTTTTTTTTCAATTTAAGGGACGCATTGAGTACAAAAAAAAATCCAAGGGCCACATTGGTTGAACTAGAAAGATGAACTGCAAGGTCTTTTGAAGAATGATTCGAAGTCCGAATGCTAACGTTATAAATACAAAAAGTTAAATCGAGAATATCCCATAATGAATCTTTACGGTACTCAAATCCCAATTAATCTATCAATAAATTAGATATTAAATCATTATACCAAACTAACGTACCAGACTGACCTCTAAAAATCATGCACACCGCTTACAAGTCGGGCAAGCAATATATGTTCATAATCTTTTTTTACCATTGACAATACACACACCCTTCAACCAGGTTCAAGCTAATACTATATTTCATTACAAATTATCACATCATAAAACAAAAGATTTATGATTATTATCACAGTACTTGTAAACTTGGAATTGTTTGTAACTCTATTTTGCACAAGCAATTTTTCGGAAAAGAATAGGGATTTTTTTTACACTTTATAATAAATATAAGAGCAATGAATTGTTGAAAGGAACAAGTAAATACACTAAGGAATGGAACTTCATATTAGCTCAAAATTCTCAAGATGAAATGATGATATGCTTTTCAACACTGTGTCTTGGCTCTATCAAAAATTGTTTCCTAGAAACAGTAAAACATGAACCTTACCATCTCAAGAGCGTGGCGTCATGGAGCCATCAGGCCATCAATGGTGTAGGAAAGAGATTTTGCCCAGTCTGCTTTGAGTAGCAATGTCTGTAGCGTTTGCATCACGTTATATCCGGGATCAAGTTTCCTTTGCCAACCCTACAAGCATCAGAACACGATATCGAATTCAATAACGATTACATTGACTGCGTTTATCTTCATATTATAAAGGCATTTCAGCACTAGGGCTATTACGAAACGATCCCAATTCTATATCTTCCAGGCTCAACTAGTCACGAAAATGTAATCCTCCTACATATAAACAAGAGTAAAACACACAGACGACTTCCTTCCTAGGAGATAAAGGACAGCAAAAGATGAGGGGGGTTGGTGTTGAAAAAAGACGTCCCGAGTGGTCGGTCAAAGATTCAAAATGAATGTTTGGACTCTCATGATATGGAGGAGTTACCTCAAGAACCAACATTGTGACCAACACAGTACATACGTTGCCATCAATATTGACTTTATGACGCCTTACTTTCTCAAGAAGTTGTTCCATGCATTCGGCCGGATGGACTAGATCACCCTCTGGAGTACCCCAAAAAGTGAATGCTTCATCTACTTCCTGTCGAAACACAAAATTAGATAACCAAGCAGAAGATGAATACATTTATAGAGATACACCATTAAGCATTTGCCTAAAATGACAAACATAGAGAAAGGGTTAATAAAAAAAGCATTCTGCACGGGTTGACTAAATGGGACAATAACAAGATAACAAAGAAAGCATTTTCCAAACTCCTCACTGTCCTGAAAGCCTTCAGCACAGTTTGGATTTTATCTATTTACATTACCTCAATAAAAGCCTTTGGGTTCGGGCAGTTTTGTCGATGTGATAATCTAAGTGTACACTCAGCTGCAGTCAGGCCATCTCTTCGGGCAACAGCCTTAAAAAATTCCAATAAATTTAAACGATCGCACTTAGAAAGTTCAGCAGTCATGCCTACATCAAGGAAAATGACATGAGGCTTTGATTTAAAGAGCTGTTTCCGAGAAGACTTGCTCTGAGACACTCGAACAAGGATATTTCCAGGATGCATGTCAGCATGAATAAAGTTGTCCACCTGGAAGAAGAAAAGGAATCTTTGGTTACCCGAATCACACCGGATTCTTATATTTCAAATAAATAAGACAACAGGAAACAGGAATCAAGCATCATCAAGTAGAAATCAATCATTTTTCCTCCATAAGCATAGGAAAACCAAGTAAAAGTAGTTGCCTACCAAAAGCATCTTTAAGAGTGCATGAGTTCCAATATGAGCAAGCTTGGTCTTAATCCTGTCATGTCCTTCAAATCCATCTACGTAGTGTGAAACGCTTTCCCCTTGTTCATATGTTTCCACTAAAACAGCAGGGTGCACAAGTGGATACACTGGCTTAGGAAAAGAGACATCTTTCCAGCTTCGGAAATTATATATAAAACGGTTCAAGTTGGCCGCTTCCCTGGCAAGATCAACTTGAGACATCATGAAAACAGCAAACTGCTGGACGCTTTCATCCAATCTCAACCAGTTAAGAGTCGGAATGAACTTTGATAATTTCGCCACTGAGTTGATAATAATAAAATCTCTCCTAATTGATTCACCAACACCAGGATGTCTAACCTTTACCGCAACTAACATGGGCTTGACCCGTTTACCAGGATAGCGGAACCTCAAAGAAGCCCGGTGTATCTGAGCTATACTTCCTGAAGCCACAGGTTCCTCTTCGAAACCTTCAAAAATTTCAGAGAGCTTGCGTCCGAATGCTCTCTCAATAGTTTTCTTTGTGTAGGCAAAGCTGTGTTCAGGAGCTTTGCTGTGAAGCTCTGAAAGCTTGGTGCATAGATCTTTAGGGAAGAGATCAGGTCGTGTTGCTGCCCATTGACCCCATTTTATGAATGCTGGGCCTGCTGTTTCAAGTGTGCGATGCACAACCTCAAGCCACATTTTCCTGAACTGGAGGCCACAAGAGTCAGCAAATGGTGCCATTATTATGCTTGGAGAGAACAAAACACCAAGATACAGAGCCCTCACTAGCAAGATAACAACTTCCACCACTGAAAGTAGTATAGATGAAACAAACGCATGCCCATCTTGTGCACGCATATACAAAGAATTCGGAGATGGGAAATAATCTGTCTCTACTACCTTCCTCTGCGCCAATGCCAATCGTCCGCATCCCAATCCAAAAATACCAGGAACTATCAAATGTGAGCGGAACAAAGCCAAGCTGACTGCTTGAGCAATACCGCTCATGCAGGGGAGCTTATGACAGCTAGATGAACATTTTCGAGTGAGCTTTTTCCAAGCAACTTGGGCATTATGAGTCACAGCATTACTTGCAGAAAGGAACGAGCAGTACCTAGAAAAAGAACCTCGAGATATCTCTTCCTTGGCATTATGCAAAAACAATGGAGCCTGTCCTCCAATGTTTAACCTACAATGGGAGTATAATCTATACTGTGGTAATCGCAGCCCGATAGCAACGACTGTTCCATACTTGCTAAATTCTGAATGGCTCCTAGTTGGGTTTGAACTAGCAGATACTGCAGCTTTCCTAATATTTGCAAATGTCAAAAGTCTGCATCCCAATAATTCTCGCATCATTCACCAAGCAAATTCTATAAACCTTATCGGCAATTTATAACTCACGCAGAAAGGCAAAATAATAGAACTCCAATTGTTAATTTCAGACAGCGCGGAACCAAGAATTCTTTAATTCATCAAACTCAACATATAAAGCAATTGGAAACAGATTTTAATCTAACAATTCATTGTGAAATTCATTAATACATGTGATCATAACAAAAAATATTAAAGAGACGAACCTGGACATGGAGATATGTATACAGAAAAAAGAAGGTGAAAAAAGGTAGCGTTGAAGAGGCTAACGAGCGAAGGCGGTGAATAACAGAATAGGAAGACGAAGACGAAGGCGAAGAAGAAGAAGATCTTGAATGCATTGTCTCATTGATGTTTCCCTTCTAATCAACGATCAAAACTCCGATGAATTTCCAATTGCCCAAACTTCTTCATTCACTTTCTGTCGGTCTGCTAAAACCTAGCGGCGCGAGAGGAAGAAGAATAAGAAAGAAAGAAGAGATCCGCGCCAACCTGAATGGGCCTAAGAAGATTGAAGATGAATTCAACTCTGCTATTTTTTTATCCATTCTTTCTGGGCTTGGGTATTATGATTTAGGGTAAATTGCCCATTTGGACCTAAATTATCAGTTTTGATCCGTTTTAGTACTTATATTTTAATTTTTTTTTCAAAATCATACTTAAAACTTAATTTTTGTTTCATTTTAGTACTCTATCGTTAAAAAATCTAGTTTTGTTTCATTTTAGTACCCGTTCAAAATTTAACTTTATGTTTTGAAGAGATTGAAAGTTTAGGTACTAAAACAGATCAAAACTGACACTTTAAGAACTAAAAGCGTTAAGTTTTTAATGGCGGGTACTAAAATGAAATAAAAACTAAACATTAGGTATATTTTGAAAATATTAAAAGTTTAGATACTAAAATAGATCACTGATAATTTAAGTATTAATTACGTAGTTTACCCTTTAATACTTCTTTTGGCTCGTCACTATGATTAAATTATTACTTTAGCACCCCCCAACAATTTTTATTAATTTAAAGACTAGATTAGTATTATTTTCGATGGGAAAATATATTTTAAAAATTATGGTAGAAAAATACTTTGAAAAGTTTAATTTATAATTTAAGTATTTAACATTGTTGTTAATATCTAATTTTGGAAAAGATAAATGACCATTTTAATACTATATTATAAGTTAAGAAGATATACATTCAAATACTAGTTAAAATTCTCTTCCATGTCTTTATAATTTGTGTTAATTTTATTTATCAATATAACTTTTTCTTCTTCAATTTTGTTTAACGGCGTCTTCATTAATTTTGATGTTGATTACCGCCCGTCGATTATTTTTTTTAAGTTTTTTTAATAAGAATACTTATATTTTTGTGACATGTTCTATACCTTTATGACACGTTTATCTATACCTTTTATGATACGTTTATCTATGCCTTTATGACACTTTTTTCTTTTCCTTTTGATAGCTTACGATTTTTTTGTCGTTGTTTTCGTTTATCTTGTTTTTCAGGGTTGGATTTGATATCGCCACGAGTGATCAAAATGATATTTATTGTTATCATACTGATATTCCTTGATTTGGATACACATTTTGCATTCGTGGATGGTTTTCTCACGTCTCTTGACTCTGATTTGCTATTTGTCAGTGATCTTCAGTAGCTTCATCCTCCTTTGTGCTTTGTTTGCCGATGCAGTCAGATTTATTCGTATATTTATTTTGTTTGAGCATTGGTTAGATTTTTTAATCTTTTTTTTTGTCATTGTGTGATTGAGGTGGTTAGTTTTTGCGTCAATGATTATAGGAAAATGTCCTAATTATAATTTAGTTTATGTTTATTGTTATGCTTGTAAATCTTTATTGTAATTCTGGATATTTTCTATTTTTAATAAAATTAACGACTTTCTATAAAAAATAATATTTAAAATTTTAATAGCATAACATATAAAATATATCAACTTAAAACATGAAAATAATATAAAAATATTTTGCTCCAAAAACAATTTTGCCTCACAAACACCTTTAATAAACAACAATGTGTATGGTACATCTTTAACCCATAAGAGGTCCAACCATTTAATTTCTAGGATTAATATTTATTTTAATATTTGAATTTAATTTTCCTTAATAAGCCCATAAGTACGAAAAAAATATTACATAGACCAGGCTCACCACGTTATCCGTGGTCCTAACCAATAATAGTTTTTCATCTTATGTTTTTTCAATGTGAATTGTCAACCCTTTCGTACGTGTAAATAAAGAGTGGATAATTAATTAGAAATTACTTTAAAATTCATGGATGTGATTCAATGGGACCATAGATGACGTGGTGAGTTGGAACCATGAAATAATTTCTCCGTAAGTAGGGCAGTAAATGAGTCGAGTCGACTCGAACTTGAGTATTATTGAGCTCGGCTTAACTCAAAAATTTGAAAACTAAGCTCGACTCTATTCGAAAACTCGTGAACTAAAAATGATTAAGCTCGACTCGAACTCGAAATAAAAACATTGAAGCTCAACTCGGACACGAACCCGAAACTTAAGTATATGAAAGTCTTGCATTGTATTTCTTTTTTAAAAATAACTTATAAATGTTAGTATTAATAATAATTTAATTTAAAAAATCTAACACTTTAATATATTACTTTTTTTCAAGTAGCTTACGAGCTTTTCAGGTCAAGTATCAAATAGCTCACTTCAATTTGTTAAGAATTCAAGTCAAGTTCAAATTTGAGCTTTTTTTTCGTAGCTCCATGAGAGAGGTGATTTGGTTTGGGGGAATGAGGGGAAGGCGATGGAGAGATGGGTTAATAAGGTGGTGAGGTGGTGGGGTTGATTTGTCTTTTGACTTATCTTTACCCTTTATTTATTTGATTTTATTCTGAGATGTTAAATAATTCCACATCATGCAACTGTTAAAGAAAAAAAAAACGAAATGATAAAAAAATTCAATGTCTATAGTTCAGTGAATAAATTAAAAAAAATAAAAGTACAATTAGTGGAATAGAAGATATAGTAAAGTTCAGTGAATAAGTGTGTAATTTAACTTATTTTATTTCATATTTTACATTACGCTATAATTTCAACAGGTGCGGTAGAGATTAAGGATGAATAAAATTTAACTCGATTTGAAGAAATTGATTTTTTTCACTAATATATGAAAATATAAGAAAATAAAATAAAAAACACTGCATTATTTCCTCTAAGTTTATTATAATAATGAAAAGGTAAATTACACCCCTTCATAACTCAACTACCTTCTAATTTTATTTTGGTCATTGAAGTCTAAAATTTTTCAATTTTAATAATTCAATTTTGAATTATTTTGATTTTAATCAATTTTTTATTAATACTAGTTTATTTATATTTTGTCACATAAGATTATAATAAAAAAACTAAAAACCCTAAATCATACCCTTTAGATTTTTAAACCCAAACCTTAAACTCACAAATCATACCCTTTAGATTTTTAAACCCAAACCTTAAACTCACAAATCATACCCTAAACCTATCAGAAACCTATCATGAAACCTATCAGATTGACGCTTAATAATTTTGTAAAATTTAAACTTATTAAATTATAATTTTATTTGGAAGTTAAAATACAATTATTTTAAAATTTTATAATTTATTGATATACTATACATGTAATTTTACCATTTAGGGGTTTTGCTGAACTAATAAATAACAGAGCAAAGACGGAAACTGAATAAAACTTTTGAGTGAAAAGAGAAAAACAAATGGAGCAAATTCATCACAACTTCGTCACTGTTCGAGGTCTAAAATTTCACGTTGCAGAGCTCGGGAATGGTAATACAAATGGGTTCCCATTCGATTTGATATTCCCTTCTTTTACCATTAACCTTAACTGTTTTTTTTTTAATTTACTTTTTTGTTTATCTAGTTATTTTGGGTTTAATCTTCAGGTTCTAACGTGGTGCTCTTCTTACATGGGTTCCCTGAGATATGGTATTCATGGCGACATCAGATGATAGCTCTCGCCGATGCCGGATTCCGGACCCTTGCACCCGATTATAGAGGCTACGGACTATCCGACATACCACCCGAACCTGAGAAGACAACCTATGCCGACATCATCGCCGACCTTGTTGCTATCTTAGATCACCTCGGAGTTACTAAGGTCAAAATTTTCCTACTTCTATTAAGTTCGAATGTGTTAGGGTTTGCGATTTTGGTGTTTTCCCCGTTATCAGATTTATGCGCACCGTGTCACTGTCATTTTGCTTGAGTGAACTAGTACGCTTTTGATTCTTTACCTTTGTTGCTTTGCTGCTTGTTTATGAGCGGCAGGGATGGCCTAGGACTGTAATTGAATCGAGTCGAGTTCGATTAGATTTAAAATTGTAAAATTGAACTTGATTCTAAAATCCACAAGCTTAAAATTATTAAACTCGAAATAAAAAATTGAAGCTCAACTTGATTCGAAAGCTCATTCACGAGCTTAAAGTTTTCAAGCTCGACTTAAAATAAAAAATTAGAGCTCGATTGAGCTCAAGATATTATCAGACTTAGTTCGATTGAAGTTTAAACTCGAGTTTGAACCTAAACTTTAAAAACATGAAAGCCTTATGTTATATTTTTCTAAAAAAGAACTGTGTATAAATTTTAATATTATTGATAATCTAATTTAAAAAAAATCTAAAAATTTAATATATTATTCTTTCGAGTTGTTCATGAGTTTTTCAAGTCAGATATCAAGTAGTTCGCTTCGACTGGTTAAGAATCCGAGTTGAGTTCAAGCTCGAGTCGAGTCTATTTGATTTGAGAGTTGACCATGTTTTGAACTAGTCGATCTCGAGTAATTCGCGATCTGTCTCGGCTCATTTACAATTCTAGATGGACCAAAGGGTTAAGTGAGGGAAGTTCCCTCAAAATTTTAAATTCAAATTCTTATATATTTGAAATATTTTCTTTGTATTTTCTATTGATAATCTATAATTTATTTTTGTCTTTCTGAAATTTTATAAATTTGTCTCTTAAAATTTTATAGTTGTTCACTTAACATAAAATCTTCTTTCCGTCCCTAAGCGTAGGTTTTCCTTGTTGCTAAGGATTTTGGAGCCAGGCCTGCGTATCTGCTAACTCTCCTTCACCCCGATAGAGTGTCAGGTGTTATAACATTGGGTGTTCCACATGTTCCTTTGGAACCTCGGAAGTACGGGAAGTCTCTCCCAGAAGGCTTCTACATATCAAGATGGAGGGTATGTTTTGGATCATTAATTGTTGAAATGCTGGAAGTAATTGAAATGAAAATGACTGTGCTTACTTGAAATTTTGTTCGGATTTCCTGTAGGAACCTGGGCGAGCGGAAGCCGACTTCGGACGGTTCGATGCTAAAACTGTCGTAAGGAACATCTACATACTGTTCTCCAGAAGTGAAATACCAATAGCAGCTGAGAACCAGGAGGTCATGGATTTGGTGGATGCTTCTGTTCCTCTTCCGCCTTGGTTCTCCGAGGAAGATCTCGCAACATACGGAGCTTTATACGAGAAATCCGGATTCAAGACTGCATTGCAAGTTCCGTATAGGTATGGTGTTGTTTTCAGAACCGTTGGCATATATGTTCCGAACACCTCATGGTCCTTTACTCCATTTTTCATTATGCATATGCTATAGCTGCAAGCTACTCATACCATCTGTATATACTATATAGAGTCATGCAAAAGGCAACCCGTTTAGGTTTTAGGGTAAAGTGCACGAATTGTCTCCCGACCATGAGGCGATGTTTTGTTGAGTCTCTCAACTATTAAAAGTTATAAAATGATCATTGACTATAGGATGCCGTTTTGTGGAGTCCCTCGACTATTAAAAGTTATAAAATGATCATCCAACTATTCATATGTTCTAAATTTGTTATTTTTCGTTAAAAAATTAACGCCTGTCTGAGCTGGACATTAATCTATTGACCGAGATAAGATAAAATCTGATTTCATAATTGTTTGAACTGTATTTTTGTGGATCGACTATCTATTTACATTATGTCATCGAGTCGGTGATTGAAATATTATATCGTCGAGCTACTGATTGAAAGTAACGATGGTACCTATAGACATCATTAAAATATGATTTTATCATATCTTAGTTAGTAGGTTGACGTTCAGCTCAGACGGACCGTTAATTTTTTTTAAGAAAAGAACGAATTTGAAATATATTAGTCGTCGAATGACTATTTTGTAACTTTTAATAGTTGGAGATTCAGTAAAATAATATCTTATAGTTGGGGGATCATTTTATAACTTTTAATTATCGGAGACTCAATAAAGCAATAATCTATAATCGGGATCATTTGTGTACTTTACCTAGGTTTTAAACTATGCTATGATTGCAATGTTTTTGTAGGTCAATGGATGAAGACTTTGGCATAGCAGATCCAGTAGTTAAAGTTCCGGCATTACTGATAATGGGGTGCAAAGATTATGTCTTTAAATTTCCTGGGATGGAAGAATACATAAAGTTTGGGAAGGCAAAAGAACTGGTGCCTAATTTGGATATAATATATTTGCCTGAAGGAACCCACTTTGTCCAGGAGCAGTCACCGGAACTGGTTAACGACTTGATTCTCGACTTCCTCAAGAGCCACATGTGACGGTGCGGTCATCGGCAAACAATGTCCGAGATATCGGTGACGCTTGTATGAATCTTGATATACTGCATGAATATGAAACACAGTTACTGTATGCTTTAATATAACTTTAAGTTCGCACCCCAGATATAAGTTTATGCCTCCATGATAACACACTTTTATTAAAGTACCAAAATGTTTAATATATGTCAAAGGAACCATTACAGAGTGACACATTTCCAACAATTTCCACGTGAATTATAAAATAATTATTAATCTTTTTAACGGTTTCAAAAATATTATTATATTTATTGAAGTTTTACAAAATTATTATTCAATTTTATCAATATGTTATAAAATTATTATTAAATTTATTAAAACTTAATAATTCATCTGTACGCACCAATTTTTTTTACTAAACTTACAGTAGCCTCATGCCTCACCCCTGCCACCAAATAGCTCCCATGTCCCTACGCCTGCAACAAAACCCCATAATATCCGGGGCATTAAAACCCACAATGATCACAAACAGCAACCTAGTATTATATTAGGTTTTTATTTTATATTAAATTTATGTAAGAATATGGATATATAATCCATGGAAAAACAAAAATGTACACAGAGATAGAGGGACAGAAAAAAAAATTCAGAGCAATCAAAAAGGAAATACAATCAGTTTTTTTTCCAGCAATCTCGTTTGAAGGTATTTCGATGTGTGTTTTTCTTTTTCTTTTTTTTCTGTTGGATGCTAGTTATAGGGTAAAAAAAACAAAATTGAAATAAAATAACGATTTAGGAGAGAGTTTACCTTGCCTGGTCGGTTGAGTTCACGCCGCCGGGGTGTCTTCGTTGTGAAAGGAGAACGTCGGAAACCCTTTTGGTCGTTTAGGGTCATGGTCTTAGTCTCGGTTTAGGGTGGTCTAGGGCCGAATCTGACGAGATATGAGTGTGTGTGACTAACACAAGCGTAGGAGGGCCACCACCGGCGTGGGGTGGCCGAGCTTTGTCTTGGTTTCGGCGTGCAACGCCGTTTGGAGTGAGGAAGAAAGGGGAGGAGTTAGGGCTATTTTCGTGCAGAAATGAGTTCTGGAAAGGGATGGGGTATTGATATTTAAGCTTTTTGGGTAAACCACGCTAAGGTCCCTGGACCTTTAGCGTGTTATACACAATGACCACTAGTTTAGGGTTAAATCACCCTCTTGGTCCTTTCTATTTAATATGATTAGCGTGTTAGTCATTATTTAGGGTTAATCGTGCTTCAGGTCCTCCTAGCTTTAGCGTTTTTTGTGATTTAGTCACCATTTCCTTTTATTTTCTAAGATTTATGAATTAGATGCATGTTTTTATATTGTTTTAATTTAGTCCTCTGTTAGATGTATTATTTTTTTGTTCGAGATTGGCTATTGATATTTATGATATTCCATTTTAGTCCTATGTTTATGGTTTTATTATGATTATGGTGCTTCTACTTGTTATTTTCTGGTTTAATGCTATAATATTTGTTTTATTAATGTTTAAGATATCAAAGTTGCTTTATAATTATTTTGTCACCATGTACTGAATAGATAAATGTATGCTGTTTATTTATACCATTAAAGTATGTTTTATGTAATATGTATCTATTTATGTATTTTATTGTCTCTTACTTCATTATGTATTTATTTAGTATTACATATATATTATATTGTGTAAATGTTATAGTGTTTTATAATAAATATCACGACGTAGGTTAAATATAATATTTAGAAAAATTATATATATTTATAAAGTAATATAAAGTTAAAAATAAATTTAAAATTGTTCTTTTAATCCATGTGTATTTTTCTCTAAGTGTTTCATTGTATCATATTCTATTTTATTTAAAAGCCTCATTAGCATAACTTAATCGATTAGATAATTGGATTAAGGGTGGTATTTATGTATTTTAAAATATTATGATAGGACAGTCTTAAAACAACTAGATGTCATTTTTCGATATTTTAAAATAAATAAATATCCCACTAGAAAAACCTAAAAATTGATTGCATTTAAAATTAATTAATTTTGGAGGGAAAAGGAAATATTCATTATTTTAAACTTATCGAGACAATTTGCTAATTTTATTAGAGATTAAGTCTCGGTGTTTTTAAATTATTGAATATCTCTTATCTTTTCTAATAATATTCGGATTAATGAATTTAATTTCTTTCTTTGGTAGAATAAATTTTTTTAACATGGAATCCTTAGGAAAACTTATTATATTCTTTTTATTTCAGTTGAAAAGAGAAATATTCGTCCTAAAGTATTTTAGGGAGTATTTTCTCTTCAATTGGAAATAAGAGAATATTTTATATTTTCCTTATAATTTTTGTTCTATAATATTTGTATGGTTGAATTAGGAATAATGAAATCTTGATTTAAATATATATTTGAATTCTTAGATTTCTACTATTTAGAGATAATATATAATCGATGGGTACCAATTTTGGGCATTGTGGGGGTGCTTATCCTTCCCCACACGTAATCGACCCCCGAACTTTTTTTTATTATTACTAAAAATAAATTTCTGGTTATACGTGGATCAATGCATCTTTTAAAATGATGTTTTTCTTAAAAAACTCTTTTAAAAGAAGATTTTTGGGTATTCGACCTACCTAACCCAAAAGGTCGATGGCGACTCTGAAACATTTCTTTTACAAAATCGAGTTTTCACAAAATAAGTCGAGACTCGTCGTATCGCCGTAAATCGGTTACGACAGCTTGGCGACTCTGTTGGGGAATCAGAGGCTCAAGCCTTAAATCGATTATATATGGTGTCTATAGTTAGAAATTGAGAATTCAGTTATATTTAATTTACGATTCCTTTGATTCCTTTCAATTGTTATTTAATATCTTTGTATACTAATGAGTGTATTTGATTAATTTTCAGATGTTAAAGTCTCAGATTCGCTTTAGTTCATTTTTGTGTCGTTGTTTGTCAAAGGTTTGAAAATTTCTCCTCACACACAACACTTGCATTGCATAACATAAGCTATATACATGAGCTCTTCCTTTTAAGTGGGAGTGAAAGCGACGTCTTCGTGAGAATTTATTCTCCGTGTCAGACCTAGCAATTAACTTCCGGGGTACATATATCCTATGTCTTCGTGAGAATTTATTCTCCGTGTCAGGCATAGGGAAATGTGCCCCCTCGAATTAAACTCGATCCGCTTAAGCCTATAATGGGTGAGGATTGAGGGTCTGGCTCGCCCAAGGGGGCACCAACAAGGACAATTCAAGTACCTTTACTCTTAGAACCGAATCTCTGCATATAATAAACCATAGAAACCCACCCGATTTAAGACCAAGCCGAAACTTTGTCCATAGGTACCCAAATAAGTGTACACAAAGGAGAAATGAACTCTAACCTTTTTTTAAATTTATTTTTATAAATGTATGTGAATTAGAAAATTATGCGATTTAAGGTTTATCTTATTATTTTAAGTATATGGGTTAGAAAGCATGATTGGGTAGGATTGTTATTTATTAAAAAGTATGTTTGGGTAGCTATCATGATGGGTAGGTTTTTTTTCCAAAATTTTATTAACTCATTATATGTACTAACTTGTTTCATTTTCTTGTTTCCTTTCATTTTTGATATTTGCATTGCATCATTCAAGATTGAGGGTGTTGATCTTTAGTTAATCATCAAATTGGAAAGCTTTCAGTAATGGACGAAAAGTATTCGAGTCAAATTGTTCAAAACTCTGAGGTACGACAGTGGTCTGAAGCACTACAAAGACAAGAAGGGGACAGTTTGCAAGCCGATCATGTGTCAGAATTATTGGGTTATACTCCTATTTCTCTTAAAAGAAATGACGTCCAAGACTTACAAGACATTTGGGAAAAATGGGAATCAAGTAAGAAACTGCAGTTTTACCAGTGTTATGGGGACATTTCCTATCTGTTGTATGTTGACATAGATGATGAGCTGCTCCGAGCCTTGATTCAATTTTGGAATCCAGGTTACAACTGCTTCACTTTCAATCAAGAAGATATGGTTCCTACCATCGAAGAATATATTGCTTTGTTGCACATAGAAGAGGCTCAAGAGAATCAGATTTATTCCAAGTCCATCAAAACTCAACCCTTCAGAATCAAATTAGCAAAAATTGCGGGAGTGCGCGAGGAATGGGTGGTTGCTCGTACCAAACAAAAAGGCGAAAGCGAAGGTATTTCTTGGACTGCTATTAAAGAAATTATTCAAAGTCATCCTGACGAGAAAATTCGATTTGATCTTTTTGCACTGGGTATTTATGGCTTAGTCATCTTCCCGAAGGCCTTGGGATATATTGAGGCTGCAGTTGTGGATTTATTTGAACAATTACCATAAAAGATCAACCATGCTCCTGTGATTTTAACAGAGACCTTCCGATCCTTGAATGCTTGTCGAAGGCTTGGAGGTGGTCGATTTTCAGGGTACGCACAACTACTATATGTCTGGATACGTAGTCATTTTTGGAAAATTGAAAAGATTTCATATCATCGTTTTAGTACCAGCTACTCGCCTTTGAGAGAATTCCTCGAGCAAGATTGGCCAAAAGGAGTCACTAAAGACATGTGGATAGATGCCTTTAGAAATATGCGAGACAAGGACATTGTTTAGCGCGCCCATGGCAAATACAAAGTGAACTCCTCTATAAATGTGGTGACTACAATTGGGTGATGCTGCTTGGTTTGTGGGGAGGAATTGGGTACGCACCCCTTTTGGTTTTGAGGCAATATGATGGCCGTCAATTTGTCCCAGTCACTGCTGGATTGCACTCATCTGAATTCGTGTTTCACGGAAACAATTATAAGAAGAACATCCTTGAGGCAGTTAGAGCATGGAAAAAGACTTTCCGTACTAGAGCTGAGGCAGCCAAAGTGATGTTGACGCCAGATTATGAGGAGTGGAGGTATGCTAGAAAGAATGAAAATATTCCTCTACCTGACCAAAATGAGGATATCTCTATGGAAGAAAGAATTCAGATAGTCCCATCAGAGGTAGAGATCTTGAGAACGGAGTTCGAGGCCGAGAAAGAAGGTTGGTCAAAAGAACTGGAACAGATGCGACAAGACAAATACATGTTGAGTATCGATGCTGACTTTCATGCTGCACAATTTGCAATGCTAAAAGTGAGAAAAGAAAAAATAGAATCGGATTTAAAAGATCTGA